TAGCAGGGTTACTATAATAAGGAGGGTGGCTTATTTGAGAGAACCTTGTTCGGGAACATTGAAGTAGCCACTGAAAGGGGATCATGTCTGTGCTCTGGTCATCCGAATCACTTTGCAGAAGTGTACTGATGCTGTGTGACGGTGAAGGGTGGCTTGGTATTCAGAATAAGAGCTGTTTTTCTGAATTTCAAAGGCTATGAGTATTTCATGCTATCGTTTCCATAACAACCTCAGCCTTCACCTACTTTTCTTAGCATATGATTTCACTAGAATGGTTGTATAAAATTTGAATCTGTTTCAAGTCAAAACATTAATAAAGGCTTTAATCAAATTTTTAAAAACAGAAAAAAGAAAAGAAACCCTAAGTATATTGATTATTCTTTTAACAGCCCTTTGAACCTAAGTAGGACACCAAAGCTATTTTTATTCCTTAGATCTCTTAGGTCATTTGTGTTTACAAAATGAAGTTTCTGTTCCCAGTGCATTTCTGTGTCTCTATTATATCTTTGTGACTGAAGGATATAGTCCTGCTTACCATTCAGTTACTTTAGAAGCTAAGTTACCTGATGGCCAAGTTACCATTCTGTTTGTAGAGGCCTGCCTTGGATTTCCTCTAAAAGACTATGGAGGCATCTGATTTGTGTTTGACATTTATGCCCAGTTTCATTTAATCATGACAACAACCCAGTGTCCCAAGATAGTGGCCTCTTCACTGTGACTTGGATATGTTTCGTTTCTCCTAAAGGTTAATGTGTTAGAAGCTTGGCCCCAATTTGGCAATATAGGAGATGATAGAACCTTTAAGGAAGTGAAGCCTTGGGGAAGTCCTTGGGTCACCAAATTACTCTCAATGAAATTAATGTAGCTCTCATAGGACCCCTGGGACTCTCTAAAAACAAGTTACCAGGGAGCCCAGCCGAATCATCTGGCTTCCTGCTCTGCTGTCTGCTCTTTTCTCTTACACGTACGAGTTCCTTCCCACTGTAGTAAATGAGGCCACTTACTACGCAGTCCTTACAAGAGCTGACTGGTGCCCTAACAGTGAACCTCCATAATATTTCTTCACAAATATTCTACATCAGGATTTTTTTGTTATAATAAATATGAATTGAGATGTTTTCTTTATAAATAAATTCCACAAGCTAGATGTGACAGTGCATGCATTTTAGTCCCAGCAGTGGAGGCAGAAGCAGGTAGTGTCTATGAGTTTGAGGCCATCTTGATCTACATAGTGGTTTCCAGGACAGCCAGGACTATATAGTGAGTCCCTGTCTCAGAAGTAGAAGGAAGAAAGGAGGGAGATAGAGAGAGAGGAGAGAGAGAGAGAACAAGTAAGTCCCATAGGGCTAAATCACTTTCCAAATTTGATAAAACTTATACATAGAGCCAGAATTCAAACCCATTTGAGTACAAAACTATCCCAGGTTATTTTTAGTTGTCCTTCAGAATTTTTTTTTTTTCCCAGTGTGCCATTACTATTGGGGCTTGGGAGAGTAAGTTAATTTTGGTGGATTTTCACTATTCATTGAACATTAACTGCTAAAAAGGCAAACATCATTCCAGTAAGGAAAGTTTTACCTCTGTAGTTCATGTGAGAGAATTTAATTTAGAATTCATTCTAATCCTATACAGATCTACCCATTTAAACACCATGGCATGTGAGGGTGTAGGGCAGAGGGAGATTAATGTCATCATTGAAACAAGGACATAAAAATTTACTTGCGCAGTTTTACTTCGCAAGAATTTATGAATAGGTTAAACTGTAGTGATAGATTTTGGCAACTATGAGTAATTTAATTCTACATATCAGGAACTTAGACAGTTTCATTATTATATTAAATATTTATTTCCAAGCTCTGAATGGTAATTGAGAGGTCAACATTTCTAAAACTAGCACTGACAAGATGTCTCTGTGAATAAAACCTGACAACCTAAGGTTGATCCCAGGACCTACATGTTGCAGAGAACCAGCTCCCCTTGAGGTTTTCTCTGACTTCCACATGTCCCTTTTCCATACACATACAATGAATAAATGGTATAAGGATATGCTTTTAAGGTTTCTAAAGCTAGAGCAACTTTTATGTTGCATAAATTTAACTATTTGCAAGGTAAACATTTATATACTTGGCAGACAAACATGTTAGAAATATAACAAACTGTTTGACTGAATACCAGTTGTCGGTTCAATTTGCTCACGATTACAGAGCACAGATTGTAACCAGGCTGGGAACTAACTGCTTTCTCACCAAATAGAAAGCAGCATGCCTGCCGAGGAACCTATATGGGTAGATTTTGCTTCATTTTATAATCCACTGCCTTTAAAAGTCACAATCATAATTCATGAACCTACTGTCTCCATTAGTATAAATCATAAAGACAAACATTCTTGTTCATGTTCATTTTCTAAACCCCCTACATACGGGTATGAGATAAACAAGAAATGTGATTCAGTCAACTATCTATCAAGGAAAGCCGGTAGAACTGTGTTGTGTGACATGCATGGCTGTGCCGACTACAACCATATGCAGGATTGAAGGATGACATAGATGATTACCAAGCAGGGAAGATTGGAAAATATTAATATCTACAATGGGCATATAGTGGGCATTAAATATTATTGGTTTTGTTCCTTCTTTTTCTTAAGAAAAAAAAAAGCCACTAAGTAATATCTCAGAAACATACTTATAGTAACTAGGTAGACTTTGTATATTCCATATTTAGGATCTTTTATTAAACAGAATTGTAGAATTCTTTGATAGGTCCATGTAGTGCTGCAGTTTTTCTCTAGTAAAAACCAACCCTGTTACAATCTGGATTGCAGTCTCAGTTAAGTCAGCTGATAACTGACAATTTTAATTTCCCATTGTGCCACCCTCCAGTACTACCAAAACTGTAACCCTAAATGATAGCCTCATTCATTCTGCCAATTTCTCATGCTTTGAAGACATAGCCAAACAGGACTTATATATTACAGCTCTAAAAACAGACATAGATACTCCTTGGATATTAACAGGAATTTTAGAAACATGCCCTTGAAAAGCAGGTCCAGGAGATGCTGGCTAAAGAATAATGCAGTGCCCTGACCGCTAATTGAGCACCGAGTGAACTGTCACCATCTGGAGGGTGGTGTGCTGGGTCCTGTTGGTCTTTTTAAATCAGCAAGTCGGATAAGAACAAATTGACAGTGCTCTTATTAATTCCCAGGTGATGTTGATCTGCTATCTACATCCCTGATGAATTGAATGACAAGTGACAGATTTAGTTAAGAAAATGCTCTGAATGAGATAAATGGCTTCTCATTCATCAGATAAATCTGGTAAAATATATTTGTGAACTCCCTTTATACCCCTACAGGAAATTCAGCAATACCGTCATCTCTCTGCAGCAAATTCGTTCTTCTCCAGAACTCCTCACCTCTCCTTAATATAAAGTGGCATTTAACCTATACATATCCCTCTTTATACTTCAGCTTCTTTGGGTTACTTACAGTAATCATCATAGTGTGTTATTTAAGGAATAATGATAAGGTAGAAAGTCTGTACACTGTACACCATCAATAGTATAGATGCAGTGTTTTTCTTAATATCTCTTTCCTTCTTCCTCCTTTTTTCTTTCCAGGGTTTCTCTATGTAACCCTGGCTGTGTAGGAGCTCACTATGTAGACCAGGCTGGCCTCAAACTAACAGCGATCTATCTGCTTGCCTCTGCCTCCCGAGTGCTAGGATTAAAGGTGTGAGCTATCACACCCAACTTTAAATTTCTTTAAAGATTTTATTTTATATATGGATGTTTTGCCTGTACCTAGGTCTCTGTACCACATCTGTGCGTTGTATTTGGAAGCTAGAAGGGGACCTCAGGTCTCCTAGAACTGGAGTTAGAGACAGTTGTGAGCCACCATGTGAGTGCTAGGAGCCAAACTCTGGTTCTCTGGAAGAGCAGCCGTGCTCTTAACTGCTGAGTCAACTCTCTAGCTCCTTAATATTTTTGATGTGTTCTTCCTTGAAAGTAGATGTTCATGTCTATATCATAAAAAGTAGAGTTCTTAAAAAACCCATTTAATGACATAGATTATTCCCACCGAAATTTGAGAAAAGCCATATTCAGAATTATATTCCCAACATATGATTATATTCACCATGTCTCAGTTTTGAGACAATTCCCAATTTTGTATTAAATAAAAGCAAATGCAGATTTTAACAGAAGTTCTAGATAGTTTGATTAGGAGTGGGTTTCTTTACATTTTGTTTCTTTACTCCTAAATGTTTTACTGTAGGTGTGCTTACTTTAAAAAGACATATTGAATACTTTGTGTTATTTATTGTTTGGCAATTTCACGACTGTATACGTATTTTGATGATGGTCGACACAAACCCTTCCCGACTTCCCCCAGGACCAGTGTCTGCACACTTCTTCACGTCTTCTTTTTCTGATGCAGTTTTACTTTTTGAGAATTTCTTATATGTGTTCTAGTATTTTGATCACATTGTCTCCTGCTCCCACCTGCAGTTTTCCCACACCCTCCCCAACACATCCTCTCTGCCAACTTGATGTCCTCTTAGTTTTAATAAATCCGCGTCCAGTTAGTGCATGGGTATGGGGTTATCCCCTGGAGCTTGGGCAAACTACCAGTGATGGCCACACACAACAAGGAAAATAACTCCCCCTGCCCACTGCACCGCAGCCATGAGCCTCGCCCCTCGCCCACAACATCTTCCTCTCCTGTTCCTCCTCCGCTTAAAGATAATCCACTTGGCCCAGTTGGGGCAGCTTGCGTGCACATACTAGAGCATAGGCAACCTATTTTTTTATGGCTACGTTCAAGTGTTCATAATCTGGAAGTGTGTTAATTTAGATCATTACAGTAATGGCTTCATCTGACAGTAATTATAGTCACCATGTTTCAAAAGCCATGGCTGACTGGGATGCTCTCAGGTGTATTACTGTTATCTCAATGTTTTCTTTTCTTTTTTTTTTTTTTTTTTTTTAACCTGTTATCAAAGGTTGAGTTAATAAAAGGGAATTTACAAAGCGTTGGACTTACACTCCGTCTTGTTCAGTCAACCGATGGGTATGCTGGGCATGTCATAATTGAAACTGTGGCCCCAAACTCACCTGCTGCGATTGCAGATCTTCAGCGAGGAGACCGGCTCATTGCTATTGGAGGTAATTACACACTTCGAAGTGTAACTTACGTGTACAGAGAAACTACAATGTAGATTGGAGAGTTTTTTCTCTCTTCTCCCTATACCTCAGACAGGCATCTACTAGTTTTATAACAGAAAAACATCATTATAAACAGAATTGTAAAAGATACCTTAATATGCTTGTAAAACATCTGCCAGGTTAGTCCTAATCTCTAAATCTTTAACATATTTCATTTTTAAACCACTTTACTAGAACTCTAATTTTCTTTCCCACCCACCTTCTCCCCTGTATTATTGAATGTAAAATTAAGAGTAAGTTATCCCTTCTTGTACATCTGTCACCACTGTGGTCCTAACTATGGTGATACTCCACTACTGGCATCTTGTTGTAGGACTAGAAAGTGAATAGGGGAGAGAATAACGTTCCTTTCCTAAGAGGAAGGATTCACCCAATGCCACTCTGGCGCTCTATTTGCGTGAATGGTCGGTGGTCTGTTAGTGTGCTGTTTACAGAGTCCAACCCAAATCTGCAGATATGTAACCCGAACACATCATATCCACCTGCCAGCTAGGTTTTTGTAAATAATAAAAATGAAAACCGAGACAAGTTATTTGCTGACTGTGTAAACCTTACAGCAGAGCTCAGCTGCACAGCAGCACAGAGAGTCCAGGCCTTGTCAGACTTCAAGTGCCTGCCCACCTCTTCTAGGCTTTGAACACATACAACTGGATGTAATTTTCTTTTAAGAATATTTTGTGTTCTTTCACGGCTACAACAGTAAAGTATAGCAGGCCCCAATAAAAAGTAGTTATCCTTGGCTACATTAGAGAACCACTGCCTTTGGTTCAAATCTGTCTTGACATTGAGTAATGGAAATGGTTTAGTTATGCACCGGGAGGCCAATGAAGTTAGTACTGTCAGGTGGCATGTACAAGGCCTTTTATACAAACCTCAGTGCCAGGCAGAGTATTCAGAAATCATTGTGATTCAGAAAACCTGGGGTGGAGTCCAGGAATCTGCATCTCTGTCTGCTTTTTTGTTTGGTGGGTGTCTTGTGGGGTTTTTTGTTTGTTTGTTTTATGTTTTTTTGCATATTTGTTTTATTTTCAAGACAGAGTCTCTGTGTAGTCCTGTCTGCCCTGGAACTCGCTCTGTAGACCAGGCTGACTTTGAACTCAGAGATCAACCTCCCTTGCCTCCCAAATACCAGGGTTAAAGGCGCGTGCTACCACCACCCGGCAAGAATGTGCATTTCTAATAAGCTCCCTAGGCCATTCCAGTGCTCCTGGAACGTGGACACTTAGGAGGACATAAAGTAGACTTTGTCCATTACAAAAGCTCTACATATAAATGTAAAAAGTCTGTCTCCGTTAGCCAAAATCACAGTTCAGTAGAAATGTTACTTTTAACTTACAGGTTATTTTAAATCATTTAACTTTTAAATGTGCCTTTTAAGTTCTGTTTTTAATTATACAAGTAGCATATAACTATAACCCAAATAAGTAAGTCTAAGCCATACAAATATTTACAGAGAAAAAAGCAAAAATTACCTTTTCAAGATATCCAACATTCATAAAATTAAAAACAAATTTTATTGATTAAAAAGTCAGATGTTGTACATATTTGTTGCTAAAGTTTCAAACATAATAGAAAAAACGATATTTTAAATTTATTGTGTATGCACGTTTTATCTGTATGTGTATCTGTACACCAGTTGCATGCAGTGTCTGCAGAGGCCAATAAAGGGTGTCACCTTTCCTGAGGTCCGCAGGATTATGAGCCACGGTGTGTATGTTAGGAGTCAAACCCCATCCTCTGAAAAAGAACCACTCCTAACTGCTGGAGCCATCTCCCCGACCCCACAGAATTCAAGTCCTACAATATATTTTAACAACTCCTTTTTCTTTAAATATATAATAAACTTTGCCCTATGTTAATAGGTATTTCTTAAGTAAATTGTAATTCATTGGATTTACAATTGCTTTAGCAGTAGATTAGTAGTAGTAGTAGTAGTAGTAGTAGTAGAAATTAAATTTGGCAAAATGTTATGTTTAGATTTTAAAAAATAGTTTATTTTGCTGCTTTCTAAATTTCTGAGCATGTTTGGAAAAAAAAAAAAAAATCCAGATTCCAGGCTTGGATGAGCAAACCCTGGTATAGTGATCGCGTCCTCAAAGCACCTAAGATGGGATGAGGGCAGGCTTCCCAAAGTACAGGTGGAGAGCTGGGGTTGGGGTGAGCCTTTGCCTACTTACTAGAGCTCAGTAGCTGTTGCTCCCTTTGTCCGTGCTTGTGGGACGTAGTATTCTCGGATGGAAGTAGTCAAGATTTTGAGCAGACTGAGTCAGGAAGAGCCCGGAGAGGAAGCTCAGAGTTCCACTGGAAAGCCTGGCAGCTTGGGCACCAGAGCAGAAAAGATCTGCTGAGATGCTGCAGTTAAAGACTGTGTATGACTGTCCTCAAGGCACTGGTCGGGGGGGGGGGGGGGGGACCCAGAGCTCCGAGTTGGGGTTGATAGCGGAGGGGGTGGGTTAAGAGGACAGTACAAGTTGTAGTCAGGGCAAGACCATGTGCATTATAATCCCCATTCTTAAAAAGGCTGGTCATTGTGTGTGCATGTAGCTAATGGACAGGCTCTGTGGTAGGGTCTGTGTGTAATATTTTGTTACACTTTTTTTCTAAATTGAGATAATTTGCTTACAAGCCCTGGACTTATTTGAGAATGTCCTTTAGTAAAGTGACTGCTTTCCATCATCCAAAGTATGGTTTATTCTTTAGTAAACCTGTTTAAATAGTTCTCTGCTCACCTCAGCAATTGGAGTGAGACCTACTGTTGTTTAAGACAAGAGGGGAAGGGAAGCCGTCAGGAATCAGCAGCTGCTCAGGGCTTCTGTGTTATCCAGGTAACAGAGTATTTCCAGGGCACCATAGGCTGATTAATTCAGATTTCAGTGAAAGTATTTTTTGAGGTTTCCTTATTGCTCTTCCATTTATTAAATAATCATGAGGTAATGGTTGGTGTAGGCAAGTTTTATTGCAATAATTTACATGCTTTCCCTTTTGAATCTTAAACCAGGTGTGAAAATCACATCCACCCTGCAGGTGTTAAAGCTCATCAAGCAGGCTGGGGACCGAGTCCTGGTGTACTACCAAAGGCCTGTTGGCCAGAGCAACCAAGGGGCAGTGCTGCCAGACAGTTTGGGCCAGCTTGAAGAAAACTTCTTGTCAAGCTCCTGCCAGCCCAGTTATGAGGAGGAAGCTGCTGGGTTGCCGCTGGATACCGAGAATAGAGACCTGGACTCTGAATTTGAAGACCTGGCAAGTGACGTTCGAGTACAGACAGAGTTCAAAGAGGAGGCACAGCCGTTAACTCACAGTCCCAAGCGCACTCCAACAACACTCTCTATTAAACCCCTGGGCGCTATATCCCCAGTGTTAAATCGTAAACTAGTTTCAGGAATCCATCCACCACCACAGAGACATCCATCTAAAGAAGGAAATAAACCATCAGCTCTAAAAGCTTCAGAGGTCACAGAAACTGCACCAGTGTCCAAACCCCAAGGACCCACTTTCAAACCACCTGTGCCGCCACGACCCCAGGTGAAAATTCCTTTGCCCGCCACGGACACCCCAACTCAGGCAGACCCGGATGCTGTTGAAAAGCCAGAGAAGGTGCTGCTCCCTCCTCCTCCTGCAGAGAAACCTGCTGAAAAGCAGGCGAGAAGTGTGGATCACGTGGAAGACGTGGCCACAGGGAAGCAGCCTTCAGCGAAGCCAGAAGTAGTGAAGGATCTTCCTTCAGAAAGTTGTGGGCCTACTAAGGACACTTCAGATGATCATCAGATGTGGGAATCATCAGAGGTTCTTTATCGCAATAAGGTGGGGAAGTGGTCCAGGACCAGAGCATCCTGCTTGTTTGACATTGAAGCCTGCCACAGGTACCTGAACATTGCACTCTGGTGCAGGGATCCTTTCAAGTTAGGAGGCCTCATCTGTTTGGGGCATGTTAGTTTAAAACTTGAAGAGGTGGCTTTAGGATGCCTAGCTACATCAAACATGGAATACCTTTCAAAGTTCAGACTGGAAGCCCCTGCTCCTAAGGCCATGGTCACTAGAACTGCACTACGCAATCTGAGTATGCAAAAGGGCTTCAATGACAAATTTTGTTATGGTGACATTACTGTTCATTTCAAGTATTTGAAGGAAGGAGAACCAGATCACCACGTGGTTCCTAATGTAGAGAAAGAAAAAGAACCTCCTTTGGTTGAGGAAGTTTCCACACTCCCTAAAGAGGAGCATTTTGTGGGACAGATGAGTTTGTCAGAAAATAAACATAGTTTCCAAGATACTCAGTTCCAAAACCCAACTTGGTGTGATTACTGTAAGAAAAAAGTCTGGACAAAAGCTGCTTCCCAGTGCATGGTCTGTGCTTATGTTTGCCATAAAAAATGTCAAGAAAAGTGTCTAGCTGAGACGCCTCTTTGTGGGGCAACGGAGAGGCGAATAGACCGTGCCCTGAAGAACCTCAGGCTGGAAGGACAGGAGCCACTTGTGGGTCTTCCCCCTCGTGTTGAGATGGAAGCCAACAAGTCAGTCCACAAGACAACAGGCTTGACCAGGCACATCATTAATACCAGCTCTCGCTTACTTAATTTGCGCCAAGTCTCTAAAACTCGCCTTTCTGAACCAGGAACAGAGCTTGTGGAACCATCACCAAAGCACACACCCAACACATCAGACAATGAAGGCAGTGACACAGAGGTGTGTGGTCCCAACAGCCCTTCCAAACGAGGGCACGGTGCAGGAATAAAGTTAGTGAGGAAGGAAGGTGGGCTGGATGATAGTGTTTTCATTGCAGTTAAGGAAATAGGCCGTGATCTGTATAGAGGCTTGCCAACAGAAGAAAGGATCCAAAAGCTGGAGTTCATGCTGGATAAATTACAGAATGAAATTGATCAGGAGTTAGAACACAATAATTCCCTTGTTAGAGAAGAAAAGGAAACAACTGATACAAGGAAAAAATCCCTTCTTTCTGCTGCGCTGGTTAAATCAGGTGAAAGACTACAAGCCCTGACACTTCTGATGATCCACTACAGAGCAGGCATTGAAGATATCGAAACCTTAGAAAGCCTGTCTTTGGACCAGCACTCGAAAAAAATAAATAAGTACACGGACGATACAGAAGAAGACCTTGATAGTGAAATAAGCCAACTGATAGACTCTCAGCCATTCGGCAGCATCTCAGATGACTTGTTTGGCCCATCTGAGTCTGTGTAACAAACTAAACCTTCAGGTGGTTGGGGACAAAATGCATCTGGAATGCCATGGGTACAGCCATGTGTCAGCTCTCATGGTACACTTTGGCCTGCTTCTGCTGTTACTTGCTTGTAAAGAGTGAAAGGTAGTTTTCCAGCAGAAACGTGACGAGCTCACCGAATTGGTTGTTAGGGTTGTGCTTGTAGTTAATGGTTTGGGGGTTTGTACTGGGAATTGGGTTTTATTAATTTATTTTTAACTTTTTCTAATTATGTAAGCTAACTTTGTGTTTATGAATGTGTGATGTCTCACTGTCTTTTTTTTTCTTTTTTCCTCCTTCCTGGATTTTGAATTAATGTTAAGGCAGATGCTGTCCAGAGTCCTGAAATATTTTCATCCTCATTTTCATCACGGTTCTAGCAGCAGATGTGTTGCATGCCTAAATTGACAACAGTGATCATTGAGGGAGCGGGTTTGAGTCCTCTTTCTCCTGTGTTATGAGGTTTTTCAGCTGCACTTGCTTGAGGTTTTTGTTGAAAGGGGCTTGGGGAATTTTTGTTTTGTTTTCTTTTGTTTTTGTTGCCAAATATAAATGAAAGTGAACCCTACAGCTTTAAAAATGTTATGCTGATTTAGTTTTTTTTTTACATATATTGCTTGCTTATGCTTCTGTGATATTTTTAAAGCTTTTATGCAGTTGAAGTATAGTAAAAGTATAATAATTAGTTAGAAGAAGTTGTATTGTGTAGAGGACAATTGCAAAACCTAGTTGGTCAAGAATTTTATAGAGAGGATAACAGGATTTTATTACTGAAGAACAGTAGCCAGTAGGACTTTGAAATATCTTTCAGATGTTGATGCTCTCCTTTTAAATGGAAGTTATAAACACGCGTGATGATTTTCTTCATCTCTGGTTCTCCCGTAGGAAATAAAGCATGTGCAAGGTTATTTAAAGTTTCACAGGACTTGTTCTGACAATTGGCTGCATTGATAGCTGGCTTTGTTTGAAAAAAAAAAATTTAATGTAGGAACATGATGTGAAGGGCAATTATACAGAATATGTTTACTACATCATTTGGTGTCTGTGGCCTTAAAGGGATGTCTGTCATTCTGAATACTTTAGTAGTTCAGACCATCTTCATTCGTTGTAAAGAAAAATAAAAATAGACAGTGTACATAGGACTTGGGACCAGTTCCTAAAAATGCAGGCGTGCTATAGCCCCGGGCTCATGTAATGGATGCTGGTAACACAGCTGAGAGGAGGGATATGTGAGCTTGACCCCTACCGACACGCCTTTAAAGGTCTGAGCCTGTTATACCTGCAGAAGGTGTTTTTCCCTTTCACAGTAACTACTGTGATAACACACAAGCCAACTGAATTAAAACTATGGAACAGCTCTTTGGCTGCAGGAAAAATCATAGTATAATATTAAAGAGGCTGGCCCATCTGTAGCCCAAACTCCACCAGGAGTTTAAGGTCAAACTTTTTAGTGAGCTCTGCAGCCAAGAGCAGGTCACAGGGGTCACACAGCGTCTTCATCTCTGAAGGTACTTACTCTACCTCATGGGACTGTTGTGAGACAAACATAACTGCAAGAACTCTTTGAACAGTAAAAAGCTGTAAAAACAAAAGGTATCACTTACATAAGGAAAGCATCTTTGAGTGTAGAAAGTTACTCCAGATTTAAACTCAATAGCTCACTCCCATTCCTGTTATTAAGTGAAATACTAGGACACAAACCTGTCTTTGCCAGATTTACAGAAAAGGCTGTATCTGTGTACTCCCCACCCCACCCCTGCTTCTTTATTGTTTACTTAAGCATGCTCACGGTTTAAAAGGACAGCACAATAGAAAACTTTCCACAACAAATCCCAGAGGCTAAAATATGATGTTCCACATCTTATGCTTGAAACGCTCTGCCTGACATATAGCCTTGTTTCATCTTGTAAACAGTAACTTGCCATTGCTACTGAAGGGATGTGTCTGTAAGTGGCTGGTGTGCTTATGGATCAAACCATGGAAGGTTTAGTGATACCCAAGCATGCTCCTGCACTGATCCATTTGAAAGAGCTGTGGAAATAATGCAAAGCTTTAGTTCTGAGAATCTACTCATGCTTTAAAGTATTTATCTCTGTAGAACCACAATCATGGAAAGCTCAACAGTGCTGCTAATGATGTTTGTAAAATATACCTTTAAATGTAGTGCAATATTTTTCTATTGGGAGAGACAGTAGAGGCATCACAGTTGTACTTTAGGGCAGGGAAGGAGGGGAAACTCCAAATATCCTAGATCATAGCAAAGGATAAGGCTTCAATTTAAAAGGTTGTATATTATTACATTACTCATGTAATCTTGCTACCATGCTATGTTATCAATAGCTAAAATAATAATAAAGACTACCACGGAAAATAAGAATATCTTCATTTGATGGCATCTGAAAACAAAGTAATTGGTTCATCTCTGTGGCATTGTGCCTGGTGTAATTTGGCCATGCAGACTAGCTAACAATCCACTTTTACTAAACAAATTTGCAAAAGCATCCAAACTTTTACCTTTGCCTCCTTACCTTTTGAAATAGATATATGGATTTTTTTTTTTTTTTCCTAATGCTATATGGCAATAAGTAGATTTATAGTGAGGCCTGTCTCGGGAAAGAAAAATTAGACTATTTAAAATGTATTGTCTTCATTGGTATTTAGATGAATGACTGGGATAGACAGAATGAGCAACATTTTAGTATTATTTTGCAATCACGATATGCTATATTTCTTTTCTATTTATTGTGTGTGGTTTTTTTTTTTTTTTTTTTTTTTTTTTTTTTTTTGAGATAAAAGTCTCTCTCCATAGGTCTGGCTATCCTGGTCACTGTATAGATCAGGCTGGCCTTGAACTCAACAGATAACCTACCTGCCTCTAGGGTTCTGGGATTAAAGGACATGTTCCATCATGTCCAGCTGTACTATATTTCTTAGTATCAGACTTCATTCATTAATAATAGAACTTTTTGTGTAGATACCTCCTTATTCTAAGAAAAAGAACAGCCTAAAGCTTTGAGGGTAAAGTCTATCTTAAAAAAAATTTTAAAGACATTTTTACCATATGTAGTAAGACAATAGAATTCAAAATTCTAAGTCCTCTAAAGTAAGTTTGAAATCACTTCAATTTTTAAAAGTTCTGTTACCTTAATTTCTAAATTGAGGTGATGGTTTTCCTTATCCCCTCCCTCCAGAAAGCAAACAATGGTAGAAAGGAGATTACCTTCATCTTTTTGATCCCTTGATGTTTCTTAAGGTCTGCATAAAACAGCAAGCCATCCTAACCCACTCAAAATGATTCTGATTTGTACATCTTGCAGAGCCTGTTCTGTTAGTTGGCTAGGTGTTAGAGCTCTCTCTCTATCAGGTAATTATCTGTTCACAGCAATTAGAACAATGTTGGAGGTGAAGTCCAGGGAAACTCACTCTTTTCTCCATGCTGATAGGCTACAACAAGCCATATGTTTCATTTAAAGCAAACGGTGGACAGCCAGAGAATGGTTCACCCTAGCCTGGAGTAACTTTTGCCTGATGCCTACAAACACAAAGAATGCTTTTTAATTAAATATCTACAGCCAAAACAATGTCTATGTATTTTATTCCAACAACAGTGTTGATGCAATGGTTTATGAAAGAATACAGGCGGGCACAGCACAGTGTTCAACAAGATTTATTAAGTAATCTAAAGTGCAGCCAGAACAGATACACTTAGCAGTCAAAAGGAAGTTCAGTATCCATCACTACCTCACTAAGATGTGTGTCTGAATTACCAAGTACGAACAAAAGCCACCTCTACTCTGTAAAAACCATCATAGAGCTGTACATCCTTTTTTTCTGGTGTGTGCACGGTATTTTTTAAAACATCCTATTTCCAGTCTTGTGTACCCAGAATATTAGTCATATAAACGTCTTTACTTTCACCTTAGGAACAGGTTATCTTTTGCTCTCTAACAGTTCTAAATTTATTTTTTCTTTTCCCCGTAGTTGAGTGACTGGCATGCCTTTGCTGTTTGTTCTTGATGAAGCCTCAAAAAACAAAAATGGCATCAGCGTCAATTACTGTACACGGTATTGTAGGCAAGGAAAAGTACAAGCCCTTTCTAACCACAGTACTTCTAAAGCTGTCCTGGAGATGTATAGGTTCCACCCTTCGATTTTAGTCCTCTGCAGCCATCTTTCAGAGTTGCATACCTGTATGGCTATCCAATAGTTTAATGAGTAGGAAGCCTGTTTCCCTCAAAGACACTAGACTTCAAACCACCAAGGTCACAGAACGTTTCATAAAGCAAAAGTATAAGCTACTTTCCTAAAGAATGTGTAATCGCCAATAAGTTTGAGGGGTTATTATCCTAAAGTTCTCTTAATGTTCAGGGTCACACAAACACAATTTAGCTTAACAAAACCTACAGGTATTGTTCTTATATATAATTACACAACTGCAGAATTAACACATACTATTTGAGACATATCCCATACTTTGTATTCCAGAAGGTTGTAATCTCATACAAAGCAATTATAGATAATGGTCACTAGTAATATTAAGCTGGCACACTGAAAAGGGACATCAGCGTCACCACGCTTAGAAAAGTTACTCTACCCAGCACACAAGATGATACAGTAATACATACACATTTGTAGATTGTTTTTTTCTGCTTCAGAAAGGGAAAGTGTCCTGACCACCCTATTATCTTAACATAATCATGTTAGACATGAACAATTTCGTTCCTTCATCTTTGTTTGAAATTCATTTCTACATTGCTATGAACAACTTTTAGGAGTCTAAAAAATAACAGCAACTCAAAATTAACAAGTCTAGAAAAACACTTGGATGTCCTGCAAGCAGGTGAGAGATGTAATCTGATTTTTCACATAGCAGCTTGATAGCCTTGTTTCCTTTTCCAAAACATGAACTAGGTTTGATAAATCATACCATGCTTAGCCTTGCCATCATATAAAGTGCATACTTGATTTCCACCCAATAAGACCATCAAGTATATATCTGTCAAAGAAAGCAACATTTTTGGGGTCTTTTCCTGTTTTCAGAACATTTACTTTTTACCCCTTTTTGGCTTTAATGTTTGCTGCCAATGATATGACACAGAAAACAGAATTTATAGCCATCCCTTTCCAGGTGGGTGGTTGTAATAGAAAACTAATGCCAGCAAAGGTTTATGAGTAAGTTTGAAAGATGGCTGATGAAAGTTCTTGTCCTCTGAGCTTGAAACGACTAGCTTTTAACTCATAAATACATTGATACTAATTACAAGTTAAATAACAACACATTCAGTGTTGCTATCTAATGGCGCTCGCTGTCTTACATGATCTGTTTCTCAGACTTCTAGTTTCTTGTTGGAGAGTCTCAGATAATGTGTGCTTTAAACACTCATTACCAGTATTCAGAAAAAATACAAGATTTTTTTTTGTCCAAGTGTTCGTGAATGTAAGCTAAAAAATTATATTTGATTTGGATTCAAATATTTATACATTTACAATATACCTATTTCGTCAAAATATATTGTATAATATTTAATAAAAGCAAATACGTAAAATAAAGTTTTCAACACTATTTATACAAACCCCTAGAAAAGCTGCTTTTTCTTTATAAGGCTGTTGGCAGTCGATCATAACCATGGAAAAGAAAGTATCACCTTTGGTTGTTATACTCTTTGCCAGGAATGGATGGTGTGACTAAGACAGCTCTGCACAAGTCAGTTCCCTGGAAACACTGCTACACATAAGCCCTTGGCAACTTTAGGGGCCTCAGTCACTTTCAGATTCTTCATCGTCACCGATGGGATATGACTGGACATTATTCTGAGTGTACATTTTTGTTTTAATGGGACAGTTGTGGTCCATGAGGATAGCCTAAAAGCAAAAATACAAGTACGTTAACTTAAGATGGTTTTAACCCACTGCTGTTAAGGGTTAGTATTTTGAAAGCAATTGCCATGTCTTGACCTTGAAACCTTGAATTCTCCACTTAGTGAAAAATCTTAAGTAGTAAGTAAAGTGGTCTCTAGGATGTTTTCATTGTACCTGCCGGGGGAGATAGAAGTTGAGTTTTGTGAAGCAGGGTGGGTGGACCAGGTTTCAGAAAGTGAAACAGAGTCCTGTGAGGGTTGGGAGCTGTTGACCACGTTGCATCCATCTTCCATTTTACAGACTGCCACAACAGGAAACTTGATGAAGATGCTAAATAGCGGGAAGTCTGAACTGAAATCCACTCTTATTTCCAGCGAGTACTCTGGTTCTGATAGCAACCACCTACAGACTGTCTTACATTTTGCCATGGCCTTTTAGATAGTTTCCCAGGTCAAACATTCCAGGGCTTTGTTCACAAATGTGATGTTCAGGCCATCTCTCTCCTAGCTGTTCTCTTTTATCACAAACACACACATAAAAGTCCTCTCCCCTCTTTTGTTTCTGAAAGTTAAACCAAAAATAAGTGTACCTGCAAAAGGAAAATACCAACAAAACTGCTTTCTTTTCTAAGTCCCCCCTCAACAAGAAGTGCTTGTGGTCATTATCCCTGCTGACAGTGTGCAGAACCAAGCAGGAATCTGATAGCACAGCTGACCTGCCAGGAACCCGGCTACAAGATAGATGGAGGGGAGGGGAGCCTTGGCTTCGTAGTAAGCTTAGGTGGGAAACTGAGAAAATGGGCACACAGGCTTAAAGAACTTGACCAAAGGATGTTCACCTCCCAATCACCCAAATTTACAGATGGTCAGGTCCTTTATGTGAAAAGACCTATGTTGACATAGAACATGTCTCCATGTGTATTTTAGTTCAGCTTTACAGTGCCCCCACGCACTGCAAATGTGTAGTGTAGCTAGGTGGTGATTTTGAAATGTACAGACTAGCGCTGATAGGTACCTGAGCTTTAGACATTCTGAATTCAAATTTGTTGCGACTACACATCAGAACTGGTGGGTGCAGAGGGCAGCGGTTTAGCCGTAATACTGAGGAGGAATCCCAGGCACTCCCAAGACAAATTCCACTTTCTTAGAGTATCCCTGGCGGCTGGAGAAGTGCAGGGTGAGGGCCTTGTGCAGGCCAAGTGAGTCAGGTATGTCTTAGCAGTCTGCCTCCTTCATAGAAACCATTCCCCCAAGGGGTGTGTGTACGTGTGCGTGCGTGCATGCATGTGTGCCGTCTGCAAACCTGAGTGGATTATAAGGCAGCCTGTCTTGGTGTCTGTTCGTTATCCCCAGCTTGTCCTGCAAATGTGGTAAGAACAGGCAGTGCTTAACCCTTTTATCATTTCCCACAAGATTCTCAAAACGATCTGCTGTGTGGCACACAGATAAGGGCTTTTGTGAGCCTGGTCAGGCTGTCATCTCAAACCGACATCTTCAGGCTCCCTTTCCAATCACACTGCTTGCTGAGCGAATTGAGAGCTGTACTTAAAAGATTTGATTACTAAAAGACATTGTATGTGTGAGTCATTCCCCACCCCCCCATGTCACACAAAGGTTTAGCCTTTGATAGCTGTAGCTAATCTCTGAAGATTATGTACCTAGAGAGCGCCGTGGAGATAGATGGTCTGGCGGTAGAGTGGGACAGGTGAAAATGAAATCCTACCTTTACAGTGACAGTGCTATTGGCCACCTCCGCGACACTGCCTTGGTTACAGTGTGTTATGTAAGACTCAACGTCATCATCTAGGGCACCTACTGTGTGTGTGGCCTTACCCTGAAGGTAAGTGCAAAGGTATGGGCAGGTCCCCCAGGTTCACAGGTGAGGTTAAGGGTTAGCAGAGGTTCTGCAGAGGAGATGGGATCTTAGGTGCATCCTGAAAGATGGGGAGGATTTGCAGAAGATAGGTCTGAATGACCACATCGGATTATGGAGGGCAGTAGGTGAAACACTAATGGTCATGGCCTGTACCAGAGGTCTTGGCAGGTAATGGAGGGAGCAGTTGGAAATCACCACCAAAGCCAGGAGCGCCAGTCATGAGCCTTGACCTTCTCGACCTTCATTTGGCCCACACACAGCAAGGCCACATCAGAAAAGAGTGGCCAGCATCGCCTTGTTCACAACCACCGTAAACTTATATAGGTAATCTTTAGAACTCTAGGACTGTAATATAGAATTATATTCAGTAAAAACGTATGGAGATTGATGGGTGTGAGAGCACATACTCAGTGCTCAGCAAGGCAGATGGAGCTCTATGAGTTTGAGGCGAGGCAGGCTTACATAGAGCTCTAGACCTAATGGGACTACATAGAGCCTGTCTTTAAAAAAAAAAAAAAAAAAAAAAAATCTGTGCTGGGATTAGGGAGATAGCTTAATGGGTAAAGAAAGTGTTTGCCTGGCAAGCATGAGGCCCTGAGTTCAATCCCTAAAACCCACATTTTAAAAACGCAGGAGTGATGGTGTATACTTGCTGTCCCTGCACTAGAGAGATAAAACAGGCAACCAGATTGAGTCACCTACTTGATGAGCTCTAGACCAGCAGGACACTCCAAAAAAAAGGTAGACAGCCCCTGGGGTACAACCCCCAAAGTTGTCCTTGGGCCTCTACATGCACACTTCATCCGTACCCACACACATACTGCGATGTACTAATTATTTCTATCACGAAGACATAAGTGATTATAGAGTTCAATATAGCTGATAGTCTGTGTGTCTCTTTATGAATATCCTTCCATGGTTTCTACAACCTAGCTTCATGTCCTCTCCCAAAAGCTTTACTGGGCAGTAGTTTTACTTTTTTTTAAAAAAAAAAAAAATTATGCATCGTTAAAAATGCCAGATAGTGCGCCATGGAAAGAGACGCACACAGTATTGAGCGGGTAAGGCAAGTACATGAGTGGCATGTGCTCAGTGGCCCACGAAGTGGGCAGGGGATTTAGGGTACACACCACCGTGGAGTAGAACTGGAGAGAAGGTCTGGCACCAAAGGCATACCAAAGCCCAGATATATCCAAGCCCCTGCTAAATACCTAGCTCCCGTCACTGTACCCAGAGCAAAGCTGGGGTCTTCCAGGTGAAAAGCAAACAAAACCAGACCGAATGAAATAGAAGAGTAATAAAAGTCAGGGCTGAGGTGGTGAATCAGTAAATGCACTTAGAAGGTAGACATTCCAGTAGGAAAGTTTTGTTCTTTTTAACATAACTAGAAAAACAGGGGGGAGCAGCTCACTATGTACACTATGTAAGTGCGCAGGAGAAGCACTGTGTCTACAAGTAGATTCTAATTTACACCTCATGTATATCCTCATCTACTACTAGACGCCCCATCTTTGCCTAGCCCATGGACAAGAATTCTTTTTATGTGTGTAAACTTTCATGTGTGTATGGGTGCGTGCGTGCGTGTATGTGTGTGTGTGTGTGTGCATTCACTTGTAAAGGCCAGAGGCTGATGCCAGGTTATCTTGGGACTTCACTTTCTATATTGAGGAAGGGTCTCTCACTTGAAGCCAATCCTTGCCAATTTGGCTAGTCAGTCAGCCAGCTTGCTCCAGGGACCCTCTGCTCAGCCTTCCTTGCCGAGTTTGTGGGTGGGCTACCGCACCTGCCTGACATTTACCTGGGCGCAAGGGATCTGAACTTAGATCTTCTTGTGGCAACTAATTGTATCCATTGAACTATCTCCTCAGCACTGAACCGTGGTCTTAGCTAGAAGGACCTTAAACAGCCATACACTTAAAGGCCACTCCCTTGTCACGTCCTACCTCCTAAAAATAATTCTTTAAACTTGAAAACCAAAGCCAATCTTGGAACTCAGCTGTTCTCATCGGGGTGTTTTGAGAAGTCAGGGTCCTGTGTCACTGTCTTATTATGGGGGCATTTCCCCTCAAATGGCAGCGTTGATACACATGCCTTATACCTTACAGAGACTGAGCAATAAGGAGGATTTTCCCTTTGCCTCTATCAGTTACATTATCCTTAAAAGCAGAAATACGAATAGGAGAAAAGCTGTGGTGCTCACACCCAATTCACAGCCTGCTGTGTGATTTGTACAATCCTACGAAACACCATTGCACAGGCCACTGTCACACACAGCCACAGAGGGAGTACCTGTGGGAAGTACTTAGCAAGGACTTAAGGAAAGAATTCTTTGCGCAGGGCAGACGCCTCCTGGCCTCTGGTCTTGAACTTAAACGGCATTTCCCCAATTGTGGGCGTTAATTGCAGGCAGAGAAACGCACAGCTTAGGAGCTGATGGTTATCTCAATGGGCACTGGTAAGGATGTGGACATTTCACAGGGAAGCAGCCCTGAGCCCCTGTCATTCTTGGAGCTTACCCTTTTGGATCGTCTCCCCTGCTTCCTTCAGTATTTTCTTTAAATGAGCTAAAGCACTGGTTTAAATAAAGAGAAACTGGCTTTCTACCATCTTTTCTTCAAAACACCGCGGCAACTGGCTAGACAAGTACTTCCCGCCTCCAGCATCTCCTCAGCTAGTCTTCTGACCTTCATTTCCTCTGCTAGCTCATGCTGGAAGCCACCGATAGATAACACAACAACCACTAACGTATACTGTCTTGGTGCTGGTTGCCTGCCCAGCAGAGTCTGGGCAGCAAAAGGAAACTCTCGCCTTGAAGAGCAAAGGCATCTGGGTGCTACTGGGCGATTTCGTTAGGGCAGGAAGGGTATGCGGGTGCCACTGGAGATAGTTGATGTGCGACTGTAACTCTCACGGCACCCCTGTGAGGTGTTTTCATTTTCCAGGGCAGCTGCCCCCAGGCCCACGCCAGACCTTCACCATTCCTAACAGTCTTAACTGTCTCCGGGGTGACAGAAACATTTACTGATAATTCAATTTCTTTAGTCAAAAAGGTTTGGGAGTAACCTTCATTTAGCCTTAATCAAATTATTGATAATGTGGCCACGGCAGGACATCTTCCCAGCTCCGTGTGATGAGTCTGTATTGATTCTAAAGGGCACAGGCTCGGGTCAACCAGACAGACGTGCCGCAGTGGTGCACACAGCCGGGCTAGAAGCAGGAAATGCCCCCACCCAAGCCCCTCCACAGCACCGTCGCCCTTCCCTAGGAGCCCAGCCATGAGAAACTCAGGTCTAGTCAAATCCCATACTGTTGGGGGCTAGAGATGGATGTGTTTTTAAGCTATAGTAAATGGACGGGAGAATGTAAAATGCCTCAGTCAAACATAGGTCCCACAATCTAAACTTTGGTTCTGTCTTTAAATTTGCTTTTGGAGGAAACCATCAAGAGTAGTTCAAGAAATGATAAGATGTCAGCACCTGTCCGGTTAGTTCATGTCAGAGAGCCCCTCTGCGCTGGCCTTAGGCAGCACAGGCCTGTACTGTCAGCTACTCCTGGAAATGAAGCAACATCCTAACTTCAAGGCCCGACTGGTCACCTGCACAGTAAGTTCAAGGGCAACCTGGGCAGCTTAATGAGACCCTGTCTGGAGATAAAACATTTTCAAAGGTAAAGGGGCCTAGAAATGAAACACAATAGTAGAGAAGCCCTAGGTTCAATCCACAGTATCAGAGAGGGAAACCTCTGATCTACTCCAAAAGAAGATGACAAAGAAGCCTTAGATCTGTCCCCGAACACAACACCACCACTTCCCATGGGCTTCTCCTTCATCCTTAGTCCAGACAGCCTCCTTTCAGCGAAATAATGCCAGCACCTGATATTTTAGTCTGCCGGGACAGACAATGAACAACAGCAGTGAGCTCTTTCTGTTGGGTGAGGTAAACACCTTAGAAAGGGCACAGGACTTATTATCTCCCACTTCAGATTTAGAGCCAATGATTTGAACTGGTTTCTCTATTTGAACTTTATTCTCTATAGCTTGCCCATGACGGCGATCCTGTTCATGAAGGTAAGAATTGCATAGTTCTCCATGCTCACATGCTTGTCCCAGGGTGTAAATATGATCAACTTCCACAAAGACTCCTGAGAACATCCCCAGACTCCTGTGCATGGTGAGGGCCAATGACACCATCTATCACTGAGTGCTGTGAAAAGCAATTCGTACCATACCCTGGGAAGCAGGAGGATGTTCAAGAACTATAGCAAATCAGACTGAATTATCCCAGGGATATATTTGATTGGCAAGAATTAAACAATGTTAATCTAAATACAAAAGAAATTTCATTCTTCAAATTCATGAGGCTTATAAGAAATAACTGGGAAAATAACATGAACAAAAAAAGTCACTTGCTCAACTGTGCTCTGTGTAGAGGCTTCTATCGGAAAGGAGAGGAAGTATGGTTAGAATTGAACAATGCACAAACCATCCAGATAGCCATACCAAAATCATCAAAAAAAAAAAAAAAACCACACAGCTTCCTTACCATTTTCTCTTCCTTAGCAGGTGGACTTCGAAGAAAAAAGCAGAGAGGAGCAAAGACAATATCAACTATCCCGATAATTGTCATGAGCCAAGGAAAGCCGATTGCCTTTGCAATGGCACCACCAGCAGAGGGACCTTTGGGGAAACAGAAAATTAACACTTTCTCCAAATGTCTTGTTGCCAGAAAATGTAAAGATTTCTGTATTTCTATGAGGCTTTCTCTGTCCTGCATTAAGGTAAAGGTTGTCTCGAAAGTGAGCCTTCTTACCGATAGCATATCCCATACAAAAGGCCACATCTGCAATGGCATACACACTCCCATAAACAGACACGTGCCGTAGGTCAACCAGGTAGCCCATGATAGGCATCATGGAGGAATCCACCATCCCTGTGGATAGTTAAGGAACAGTGAACGGAAAAGTGGTATGAACCAGAAACAGGCTGACTGTCAGGGACTGTGTCCTAAATTCAGTACACTGCCAGGTCTTTCCCTGTCATTGCCACTTGCTCATCTGTGACGATCTGACAGCAGACCCTTCATTGTGACTAGTAAGAACAAGGCTGAAGGGTGCAGAGAGGGGTGGAATTCAACTCAAGATTCTGAGACCTTATCAGACCACCTTTATAGGCCGTCTGACCTCACCTTGTAATCTCTTGAAATGGGCCATGTTTTGGGGGTAAGGGGAAGGTACCCAATCCTCTGGCGACTCACCTGTTACTGTTCTACAGATGTAGTATATTACAGGCCTCTGGAACCTGGCCTACCAGCTGACGCCTTCCTGATCCACTATTTTCTGACTCCCTTTTCCTCTTGCCAGCTAACACATATCTGAATCAACCTCTTTCCCAGGCTTTAGACCATGGGAGTTACCAAGCTGGAAAGTGCCCGAGCACTAAAACGCAAAGGAGGGGGGGGGGATCTCTTCCTGCTCAGAAAAAAACAAAGCCTGGAGAGTTTGTCTCGTTAGTTGGCTAACACCAACACCAACAAAGACCAGCGTGACAAGCTGAGGCCTCTTGACCAGCAAGGGACAGGGATCAGAAAGGGCACATGTGTTCAGAGTTCTGGGTGCAAAAGCTAGGGCGAGGTCATGCCTAGCCTCCTTCTGTCTACAACGCATGTGCTTTGAAAGTGGTTTTGGCGACCGACTGTAGTAAACGGATGCCTGTGCACACATGCTGAGGGGCTGGCACACAGCAGCAGCTGGATGAGAGAAATGGCTTTCATTTGTTTAGTATTTGCTGGTCATCTGATGTGTGCAGCCTGCTGGACAGAAAGATGGTAAGCAAAGTGTTGAAGAATGGCGTGAAGGCCCACAAGGTACATGAGATGCCTGGGCTGCCTAACCTCCTCTAGAGGGTCAGACGATATTCCATCCGTTTGTCCCGCTATACCGCCCTGAGACTAAATTCCTGACACCTCAGTGGTGTAACAGGTGCGGCCTTTGCTTTTATCATGATAACCAGTATTTATAAGTGAGAAACGAAAGCCTGCCATTAGTGCAGACTTTCCCTAATGTTTTCTTTTCTTTGCCTCTGAAAATGCCTGCAGCGCACAACATGAGACCTCGCCAGCTTGCATTTTCTTTACCAAGCCAAATACGGAAAGCACATGGGAAGTCTGTCCCTAGCCACTTTTAGGAAGGCGCGCTCACTCTCCGGTCTGAACTGAATCGACGGTGCAACGGATAGGGACGCACGTGTTTGCGGGGCATGGCGGAGAAGCACCTGATTTTCAAATGCATCTTCATGGGCCTGGACGATGGGTTGCTCCTGAGCTAATCTCATGGCAGACCCTGGCCATGCTCAGCTTCTGGGAATCTGAGCTTTTGTACCTACCTATAGTCTGCTCACTACTCAAGAAGAGAGTTTCCACCGGAGAGAACGCCCTTCCAAAGGGAGACACAAGACCTGTGTGACTTACCAATGGCAAAACCAACTCCAAAGTTGGGAGCGATGAGTCCATAGATGTTCTTTGCAAAAGGAATCTGTAAGAGGAAGTTAATACGATAAAATAAAAGATATCAACTCCAATAAATCATCCTGGTTGGGGGGAAGCCTAAAAATATCTTTTATCTGGGCCTTTTGAAAGAAATAAGAGCAGGGGAAGGAAGAGGGTTGCCATCCTAATCTTTAAAATCCAAAGCCTGGATTAAGGGTGCATTCAGCGGTAAGATGCCTGCCTACTGTGCATGACACCCTGGGTTCGATCTCCAGTGCAACCAATCAATAAATGTATGGCAAACTCTGAAATGTAAATTCTGGCGGCTGTAAAAACTTAATTTCATGGCTCCTCTGAAAGATGGATTTATCACCTCAGCTTTGACACAGAGAAATCAGACATATTTGATAAATAAAATATGTTTATTCTGGTTAACATCCCACTATTGTTCAGAATAGCTCTATGAAGACATGTCATGTCTAATGATTCAAGCCCATAAATCCAAAAAAAAAAAAAAAAATTGCTAGAATAGGTCAGTTCTAGGCCAGCCTGGGTTACATAATGGGGCCTTAAAGAGAAAAAAAAAAAACTACAAAAATTTAAAAAAGATAATTGAAAAAATAACTTTGTAAACTACATGATAAAATAGCTTAAGCAACGTCTGACCTAAAATTAATTAAGATACCCACTGGGGGTCTTTCCAGAAATGTTTGAAATGACTTTTAAAAGCCGAAATAAAATGTAGAACATGTTAAAAAAAACAAATATTAGCAAACTCAAACTGTTATAAAATGTTACCTGGTGAATCTCACCCAAAACAAAGAGTTTCAGTCTCCCGCCCTCTCCCCCGACTGCCTGTCAAATGCAATCTTTCACTCACACATAAAATGCTGATCCCAACAATTATCATTCCCAGAAGAGCACAAAGCCACCTGTTGAAAGAAAAGGCACGGTCAATAATTGAACAGTCACGGCGTGTTTTCCCCAAGACACATCTTCAATGAAAATCACAGCAGTTACTTGTAACGGCTAAGACAGAAACACTGAATTTCTTCAAAGAAACACCTTATTACCAAAACAATAGAATGAATGCTTTCATTTAAGCTTACCTTCCCATTTTGTGTGCAAGTATCCCAAAAATATTGGTTCCAATGAGATAAGAGATACTTGCTGGCAAGAAAGCAATGCCTGTGGATTTATGAAAGGATACCTTATCAGTATTTCTACAAGTCACACGTCAGAAAAACTAATAATCACAGACACCAATGCAGTGATTCGAGAAGATGAAATGAAGTCTAAGGCCTGGCACGCATGCAGCTAATATCCGGTTTCAGTCTGGACCCCACATGGCTTATCTGTCCCAGAAAGCTGCCAAGATGCTCCAGAAATGGAAACCATTTCTCTATCAGTGGTTATATCTCTCCTCCATCTGAGTCTGGTGGCAACATTACATGAGCGTCAACAGAGACAATCCCCAGCTATGGGGGCCCAGCAATGGCCGCCCTCGTGGTCTGGGCATTTACATATGCGTTCTCACTTCTAAAATTCTTGACAAAAGGCACAGCCATCGAAAGAACTAGGGAAAGCTAGCCAAAGCCCATAGTTACTTTCCCATGTAAGTTTGCACACAAGGCTTTGTCACAAAAAGAAGACTATATAACACCTCCTGCTCCGTGCCCTGTTTTTCTCAATTAACTGAACATGGTACTATCTTTGATCATTTTTCATGGTAAAATTGTGACTGACAGATACTTTATGTCCAAGACTTAATGGTTCTCCAAGGGGAAAACAATGAGCCAGGAGCAAGTTCCAGCAGGCAAAGTTGCCTTAACCGTGGCCAGCATTGAGCAAAAGACCCATCAAGACAAGTGTACGAATATGCAAGGGATCTATCCACTTCAGCTCTGCTGCTCACTACTAGGGTGATCTCCTGACAAGAGACCTCTTCAATTTCCTAATTTCAGTATTTTTTTCCATTGAAATGAGATATACTAGACTTGCCCTCAAACAGTAAGAACTGCTTTGATCTCCAGCATCTGTGTGTGCCAGTTATACATAAGTGGTCAACAAGGGCTGGGCTAGGCAGGCATGATTCTGTCCCTTTAAGGATAAAGGACACTAAGCCATTAAGCCCTGGGAAAAGCTGTCTGGAGTCTGAGCCTCTGTCGCAATAGGAATTCCAGGTTAATGGGTTCTATGATCAAAACTCGAAACAGAATCATGCCAGAACCAGGATTCTGGGAAATGGCAGTAGAGAGCGATCGCATGTTCCTGGAAATCATTTCCATCATGCCCAGCAATATGCAGAGGCCAGTCAGTCAGTCAGTATAATCTGATCGGGCAAACATTTACTGACAGCCATGTGCCCCGTACACCACCAGCTTACAGCAAAGGCGATAACAACAAGAATCCTGTCACCATGGAATTCTTTGAGGGAAAGAATTGGGTGGTGTTTGAGCTGTGACATGGCTTAATGAGAACATGGAAAGATACAGTTCCGAGAACCCTGAACTGTAGCTGGCCATGCTCTCTGAAGCAGACAGTATTAAAGCCTGGCCCCAGAAAATCTGTGGCAGCCTCCCACGCTCTGCAGACCAGGTTGGGCTGGGTAATAGAAAGCATGTTGACTCTGCCTCGGGACCAGCTGGAACCAATGGCCGTGGGTGTATATATATGCAAACTTTGAGAAAAATGACAGCAGGACAAACAGCCACTGACATACTGCCTCAGGGCCAGAGAAACAAAATGCAACCGAAGGGAGTGTTCTGTGGGAACTCTGAGGGCCAGATCCCACTTGACAAGGTAGCTGCCACTCTCTGACTCATCATTGGAGGACTGCAACCCAGTGTTAGAGGGGATATCCTGTAGATAAATAGATTTTTGCATAAGACTTCATTAAGAAGAAATGTTAAATGTTAATTTAAAGAACAAAACCAAAAGACCCTTGATTGGGGAGGGGGTGTCCTTCTGTATATGTGTTTCTCTTATTGGTTGATGAATAAAACACTGTTGGCCAATAGAACAGCAAGATAGGCGGGTCTAGAAGATGAAGAGGATTCTGGGAAATGCAGGCAGAGTTGGACACCATGTGAGACCACAAAGGGGTAAGAGGTCTGGACCCTTCTCTGATAACATAAGACCAAATGGAAATGCACAGATTAATAGAAATTGGTTATTAAGACAGAGCTAGTCAAATAAGAGACCCTAATCATCAACCAATAGTTTCATAATTAATATAGCATCTGTGTGTTCATTTGGGGCAAGGCAGTTTCAGAATCAGGCGGGAAATTGTGTAACAGACCCTCAAGTACATCGTTGCTACTTGATCTTGGCCCTCAGATAGCCTTTGTTGTTTCTCATCAAAGAAGAAATCTCCGAGAGCCCAGCTAGGCTCCAAGGACTCCTGATGTATCCTGACTCTACTTAGAACTTCAAGCAGAAACACAAGCAGACTCCTAAAAACCCAGAGAGCAGCCCTACCTTCTCAACCTGAAGGGGTGGGTGCCAATCTCACACAGGACTAAGAGACACAATGACCTGATTTTTCACAGGCAGCCAGCCCATTGACAAATGCCGTCATGGTTCTCAGGCAGAGCTGCCCTGGCTTTGAAAACACAAAACAAGGTGTTCTCTTGAACTTACAGCTTGCTGGCTAAACTTTGCAAGGTTCAAACCCCTTACAGCCCTGTGAGAAGCCATTGTTTTCATCCCGTGCACTCAGAATGGAGGTGAGGTCCAAATGTCTCATTCATCATAGAGCTATCTACAGACTTTTTTTTTTTTCCCAGACAGCCTTTCCACTGACACATCTCCAAGCAAATCCCATTTCTCCACCCTGGCCTGCTGGCCTTCTCCACATTTATAATAAGCCCCCAGCAAGCAGGTTTCACCTCAGTTTCCCCAAGGCCTAGCTCCATTGTGGCAGACAGGAGGTGCCTCTGAGTATGGCTAGCCACCCCAAGAAAAGGTCCTAGTTGGGTGTGGTAGCGAATGCCAGCACTCAGGAGGCAGGGGCAGAAGCATCTCTAGAGTTCAAGGCTAGTCTGCTCTGCATAGGGAGCTCTAGAGCAGCTAAAACTACAAGGAAAGACCCCGCCTCAAACAAAACAGTGGGGGGGGGATGTGGTGTGGGATGAGACCCACTTCACTGTGAGACCACTGTCCCTCAGCAGCAGGGTTTCCAAAGAGAAGGCACAGGCAGAAGCCGGCTCTACACCTCACACACTCCCATCACCAACAAATGTAACAGAATTCACTCCAGGGCTCTCCCCACCTGAGTGAGAAGTGTTCGTCGCACCTGCTCTACACACAGCATCCAGTGTCATACAGCGACTCACTCACCTCCAGTCACAACCGAAAATCCATCACAGCCATCAGCCACCTCAGCCCTGAGCAGCAAGCAGGGGAAGGCGTTTGCTCTCATGGAGCATCACGGATGCTAGACATGTGGCCTGAGAGGTAACAGTATTGAGTCCTTGAGACTCTTCTGATCCTCGAGCTACGGTGTGACAGTAAGCCCTTGTTGCCCTGGCTTATGTAAGAGAGGGCTGCAGGCTCAAGTCCCGGCATCCCCAAACCACACAGGGTCAGCAGCCCATTTGTGTATCTCCGCTTGCCAGGCTGGCACAGGCTGCCTTATGAAGTCACAACCGGTTAGGACAGAAGGAGCTCCCTGCCCTCCTATGGCAGTATCGCCACATCACATTCGAAACAAACACACCACAATGGCCAGCAAGAGGAGCTTGCCCTCAGCCTTGTCTAGGGCTCTTGTATAGGTCCCGAGTTTCGCGTTGGGGAGTTACAGGCCTCACCCTGAACGCAGCCCCTAAGCATCAAGCTGTCTGGGAGACGCCATTTGGCTTTTAACTCAAGGCATTATGTAAGCAACAGAAAGAGTCCGTTTTCGACAGCTCTAACTCAGGACCTGCCTAACTCGTGATGGGGAGGCTCTGGGAACAGGCTCACGCATCTGCCGATTCCTTCCCGAACACTACAGCCAAAGCCGTTTCATGAGAGCTGGCACATGTCACTCATGTAGCTAGTAGACGCTTGGCCCTGACTTCCAGGGTCCCCCAAAATGACAGGGAAACAGAGTCAGCCAGGGCAAGGGCCTCTGGCTCCAGGCACAATATTCTCTTCACCACTCATCCCACAGGGTCTGGTGGTTGCCGGAGCCACTAGTCCCAAGCTGTAGGGACCACTAAGAGGATCTTTCCTGCCACATTGAAGATGAGGCATGAGGTAAAATTAGATTCTCTCCAAGAGACAAACCTACCTCTGAGGCGAACGTCAGGCAGACCCTCGGGGTGGGTCAGCTAAACACTAGGCAATGACAAGCCCGCATCAAATGATCTTTGGTCGGCACGGGGGAGTCTGAGTTCTCACTCATGTGGCCTTGGGGCTCCTCGCTGACTTTAAAGACTTTACAAAGCAAGCTGCAGGCTCTGTGTGACGAGGACAAGAGCAGAGCCTCCTAAATGCCCTGCGCACGGCCAGCATCAGAACACTTCCCAGCTAAGACGTGAAGTAAATGCATGATGTCTGACCAAGCCACGCGATCCCCAAGTGGACAAATGGTGCACTATGAGGACACGTAAGCTGCAGGGCGCTGAGGACCAGAGGGAAGGCAGAGTTGGGACCTCTCGAAAGGAGCAGCTGTAGTCTCCACGTACGACAGCCTGCTCAAACTAAGAGTGAGGGAACATGCACCTGGGAATAGCTTTCTCCAGGGGCCTGAAAGCCTGGGCTCTGACGGGGAAGGTCAGAACCATACTTTCTAAGCTCCAAGAACCCATCTGCCACAGAGTGGCACATGTGACTTGTGTTTACATTTGCCACCGAATTCACATCCTAAAAAAATCTACCCTTTCAGTGTTTCCAACTGGGATAGTCACAAGTGTGTGCCACCATTATCATGGACAGAATCCAGAAGGCTGCCACCTTTCTCAAAAGGAAATTCCCGCCTGTTAGAAGTCCCTCACCCATATTCTATCCTGGGTTGTTTGAGGCCTTTTAGGGACAGTTTGATGGACAGATGCAGCAATCATTACAGAGCATGAAGGGGCTGGTACTTTGTTGAGACACATGTCCTGAGGCAAGGAGACCAGGGGTAAGCTAGGGTTGCGTTTGGGGATAGATGAGTTTGAACTGAGTATGATCCCACAGGCCTACATGGTAGAAGGGGGCAAGTTGTCCTCTGACCTTCTCAAGTGCTCTATGGTGCATGCACGTGCGTGCACACGCACACACACACACACAGAGAGGGAGGTATAATGAAGTCAGAACTAAGCATCTTCATATAACGATACCCATGTGAGTTGAAGGAACTAAGAAAATAAAGTAAATCTCTAAGACAGACAATGCATACTTAAATAACAAAATTGTGTGTGCATGGGGACTAGCTTTCCAGAACACTTTAAAGCTACAGGGAGTGATTCAAGAGGAGGTCTTAACATGAGACAAGGCCGATGTGTGAAAGAGAGGACAGAATGGGAAATGAACCCAAGAACGCGTGGCCACTGAGAAAGAAATGAAGATGAGGGACCAGATGCTTCCCCTGGAGACACGGCCCAGCGATGATAGATGGCCACATGGAAAAAAAATCACATCCCCATTCCAGAATTAGAGCAAAATTAATTCCATGCAAACCTAATATTATAAGGGAAAAAAACACATAAGTGCATTAAAGGAAAACAGGGGCTATTTAATTTTTAAATGATCTTGGCAGGGGAAAGGCCTTTTTGAGCTAGACAGTGACAGAACAGAAGCCTGTCAAATCTGACACGAAGCATTTTAAATGTTCTGAGACATGAAGCGCACCCCTTGTAAAGTAAAAGGACACGACAGAGTGAGGGCAATATTTGCAAAATTTCTCATAAAAAAATCAATGCCTGGTACACAAAAAGGCATTTAATAAGTAAGAAAAGAACAGTGCAATATGAAAATGAGATTATCAGCAAGAGTCCCACACTAACCAAGTGTGGTAGACACCTGTGAACCTGGTACTCAGCAGGCTGAGGCAGGGAGGTCATCTCTGTCTTCCTGTCTCTCGTGTGTACATGTGCAGACGTACACACACACACACACACACACACACACACACACACACACACACTAAATCTATGAAAAGAGGCTCCATTCTTACCTATTGGATTCTAGTACCTGTGTTAGTGCAAAAACTACATCAGTTTGACTTGGGGGAGATGCCCTACCGACATCTGTCTGAACATGAGGGAAAGAGGAGAAGGCATGAGTATTCTACAGTATGGATCAGTGGCAAAAAATGAACTATGGTGCCCTTCAATAGGGATTGCTTGAAAATCCCTATCACTGGGATGGGGTCATTGATCAAGCCACGGGATGCATGAGCAAGAGGACCTGAATTGTGCCACCAGGATCCAAATAAAAAGCTGGGCATGGTGGGCTATGCCTGTAATCCCTACACTGGGGAGGTGGGGCACCCTAGGGCCCGTTGTTCATCCAGCTTAGCTGAACCAATGAGTTCCTGGTTCAGTGAGCTCTGTCTCAAATAGCATTGACTTCTTGCTTTCACATACATACGCATTTGTACAAGTATCTGCACAGAAGACGGGCAGGAAAGGGAGTCGATGAGGATGCTCAGATGGTGGAGAGCTAGGACAGATCTCCATAATGACCAAAGCCACAGCAACTCAGCTCAGGTGATAGACCTAACCACACTGTGGGGCTCATTCATCTCTGCCGGAGAGCTCAAGGGACACATTCATAAATGCTACACAGGAAACCCGAGAAAAGAGAAATGCGGAGCAATGACCGACCCACGGAAAAATGAATTGGGGCGGGGGGGGGGGATAAATGATCATAGTACAATACAGAGTTCAGCTGGAGGACAATATTCGCAGTCACAACAATGGCAATAATAAATTCCAGCCTAACAAAGAACTTTGGTGCAGTTACACCAGTATCTGTGGGCGATACATTCCAAGACCTCAGTAGATACTGGAAGCTGGAAAGAGCACTAAACTCTACGCATATGTGCTTATGGTACAATGTAGCTTATAAAACAGACACTAATGGATTAACAAGGACAATGAAACAATTCTAACAATGTCCTGTAATAAGATTAGTGTGGATGCTTCCTCTCCTTCCTCAATCTCATTGTACTTAACCCCCTTTCACATGAAGCATCTGTCAGGAATGATTAAAAGATAAAATAAGATTTAAAAAAAAAAACAACAAAAACAAAGCTAAAACTGAAACTGACCCCAGAGTCCATTTGAGGCAAGCAATAGTGGTCACTCTGTCACCTTGCAATGGGCATTTCTGCAGAGAAGGCACACAGACAAACGGGGCACACCCTAGTCCTTACCCAGCTGCCACTTTCGGGAACACATGGTCTCCATCATCCAGATGGGCAGGGCGGGCTCCAGCATGGCTATCCCCATGTTTGCAAAGCAGATGGAGCCTGCACAGGAGGAGGAATGTTAGTGTGCTTCTGCCTTCATACTGAGTGTCTGTGATCACTCCAAACACAGACCCCATGGGCCCCACTCGGAGACCCTACTTCCATAAGGTAAGAGCTAAACGGCAAACCAAGAGGATAACAAGGAGTAATAACTTTAATTTTAAGCAAGTCCAATCCCAGAATTATAAAGTCTGTAGCTGCAGGGAGACATTGAGCTCGTTTGGTTTAACCCGCCCACCTCAAAAATGAAGAAAGAGTATTCATTCAGGGAGAGTTGTGTTCCACAGCTAGGTGGGCATCCCTACAATTCATTCAGGGAGAGTTGTGTTCCATAGCTAGGTGGGCATCCCTAGACCCTTGTGATTGGCTCTTTATACTGTACAATGGACTTGGATAGTTTTCATGATCCCTGAGGTGTCAGAAAATGTAAGGGTTATGGTGCACTGGGTACAAGTGTGCTGGGAACAGGTGTTTTTCTAGCCATATACACATGGAATATCCATACAATTCATCATTCATCTGTTAACCAAGCTCTTTGTTAATACAGAGCCGTCTGGAAAAAGATACACAGAATGGCCCTCCATCATTCTGGAAGCTTCCTGTGCTGTGCTCTGTGGAACCTGTAATTTGCTAGAACAAATTCAAAGAAAGCTGTGCGATCATTCTTGATGACATTTAACAGCAGGACATCTGAACTCCCTTCCTACCCACCTCGCTCCAAACCACCTCCACCACTGCCACAATGTAACAAGAACCACGGCTGGTTTAATAGTGCTGGGTACATCTTTCATTTTCCTTTCATCACTGAGGTTCCAAGAAACAGCAAGGTCCCAGGCTAAACTGCCTGACTCACATGTGCTCAGTTCAGGGAGTTTACATCTCTAGAACTCCACCCCACCCCCACCCCCTGCCATACACCTATTTTTTCACCTCACCTCAGTTCTGGAATATTTCCTGCATTCTGCAGAGCCCAAGGCATGAAGAGGTCGGGGTACTGGCTTCTCAAAACTTAGTCTATGTGCTGCCCTGGCTAAATCCCACAGCAGAAGGTAAAAAAAAAAAAAAAAAAAAAAAAAAAAAAAAAAAAAACACCAGCCCAGAGATTGATTGATTTTTTTTCTTTCTTTTTCTCTTTTCCTTCCTTCCTTCCTTCCTTTCTTAAAACAAAGTGTCAAGTAGTTTTCTACACAGCCAAGGATAAAAGTGTGCTGGGATCACATGTTGGCATAACCATGCCAAATTTATGCCATCCCTGGGAATGAACCCAGGTCTTAAGCATAACAGGCAAGTTCTATCGAGCTATGTCATCAGGCCCCTTCTTAAAGCATCAAAAAGGGCTGAATACAAACATCCTACAGAAGAAGAGACAACAACACCAAGTTGTCTCAAACACTCAATTTTCTGTTAACATGGAAGCCCTCTCAGGCTGAGCCATGCTGCAGGGTTGACCAGCCTTGTATCTGGGCACTGGGAAGGGGAGGCCCAGGCCAAGCAGGGAAGATAACTGTCTCCCCTGGGACAGGGCCACAGAAGCCCAGAGTTTTCTTTAGTCCATCTAGGCCCCGCGTCCAAAGGCAATTTCTCACTCTGCGGGCAGAGAGGTGCCCTCTAGGGCTCAGTTCTCAGGCCAAACGCCCACCTGAGACACCCCAAGTGAGGTCAGCAAGCCTTTCTAAAAAGTTCAAGGCCAAGTAGTGAGCCTTTGACATAAAGACAAGAAACAAGCGAGGATAAGGCAGGATATCCATGTCCCAGACCACATATTTCCAGCAGGCAAGTGGAAATCAGCACTACCTACCTACCACCTTAGAACTACCCTTAACTTCAAGAACTCAGGAAGGAGTCCCACCTGCAGCAATGAGGATGTATGGGTCCTTCAGCAGCGTAGTTAGGGGTGTCCCCTTCTGACTCTGTCAGGCAAAAACAGGGGTTAGAGAGAGTTACCTGAGCCACCCTTCGGCCTTTACCTCCCAGTTGCTTACCTCTGGAAGCACCCGGGATGGCTGGAGCACAAACAGCTGAATGGCTACAAAGCAAAAGCACAGATGACTCTCTTGGAAAGCGAAAATGTCCCAGGCACATGCCATCACAGAAGCTAAGCCCATAGCCACTCACCTCCATCCAAGAGTACCAAGGCCGCTAGAACCAAGAAGGGAGCTGTCTTCCCCACAAACTCATAGAGCACGCTCCCGAAGGGGGGTCCCACTGTAGGAAGAGAGAGACCCACGAGACGGCATGGTGGGTGGGTACCCCTCCCCATAGAAGAAGACACCCGTTTGAGTCTTATATCTTGTTCCTTAAAAGATCTGAGGTGACACCATACATTCAACTTAGCATCATGTTGAGCTTCTCCCCAGGTAGGTTTTCACCTAGGGGATGGAAAGACCTCACAAAAGCATCCTTAAGGGGCCCGAAGCAAACAAGGTAGGTCAGCGGCTGTGTTAGCTCTGTAGCACAGCAGGGTCCTACACAGCCGTTTCTTTGCTATCAGCAGACATGGGCACCACTGGCTCCAGAAAGAAGTAAAATGTCAACGATGGGAAAGGGAAAAGATCCAACTCTCCTTCAGGAAAAATATCTGTCCCCTGGCCTAGGATGTCAGCCATGGTGGGCGTAATGGCAGACACAGAAGGCTGGGTGTTTCTCTCAGATTATAACGTGGACGTTTTGAGAAGAGGGGGCCTGACAGACCATCCTACTCAACTCTGTGTTTTATATTGGAGCCTACAAGGTTTGGGGACAGAGGCCAGGGAAGGACAGACTCTGCCTCCATTTCCAAAAACCCCGTGGAGGTTAAAAAAAAAAAAAAAAAATAGAAAGGGGAGGTCTGGATGCCTGTTCCCGGGGATGTGGGTGTGAGCTCCGTGTGGCCAGGACTAACGGGCAAGGACAATTGTAACTCAACGCCAAGCAGGTCCTACCTTCACAGTGACTAATACATACCTAAGACTCCCATGGCTAGGCCCCCCAAAGCAATCCCCATGGCGTTACCCCTCTCTTCATCATCTGTATACACGCTGGCCAGCATGCCCATTCCTAAACAAGAAGATCCAGTCAGTGCCCATGCCCTGGGGAACACCAAAAACATCACCCATGACATCCCCCCTCCCTCCCATGGCGTCCCCCCGCCCCTGCCCATCTTCCTCAGCCCATGAAACTAACTGAAATATAACGCTAGGCAGAATCCACCAAGAAGGTGGACATCTTCTCCAGAAACCTTTCTCCACCCTCCTCTACCTCTAGTCCCAACATTAGTCCACACAAGTGCCCAGCCAGGCTCCCTGCCCCCTGGTGCGTTCATGCCTACCAGCCACGGATGAGCAAGAGGAGCCAATTCCCTGCAGGGACCTGGCGATCAGCAGGAAGGCATAACTGCTGGAGAAGGCAAACACTGCCAAGAGAAGAGGCCCAGACCCTCACATCAAGGTCATGCCCCTGCCCACCAGACAGAGATGTGGCAACATTGTGTGATTCTGGAACCCACCCTTGCATTAATGAGTGTGTCCATACTTGAGGCTGTGGGCTGCTCTATGAAGCCCCCTCCTATCTGTACTATTACCAATACAGCATCCCCTCCTCCCCCAGGTCTAGTCTGATTCCCAGCTCTCGGGAGACAGGGCTCCTTCCAAGACTCGCATGCAGAAGGCAAACAGTAGATACTTACTAACTGTTGAGATAAACATGATGCAGAATCCAGCAAACATGGGAATCGGATAGCCAATTCTGAAAGACACAGACATGAAGAGTCTGATGACGGCTGGCTGCTTTTGTGAGGCTTTATATTGATTTTTGCAGCCGTTATCCGTTTGGGATCAGCTGGATAAGTGCTCTGTCGACTTGTCTGAAAATTCATATACTCCGTGTTTCCTACGTGACCTTTCCGTGTTTGACTGTCTTAGAATATGAATACACTTATGGGATGCCACTCTGAATGGAAATTTCTCTGGAATAAATGTTAACACAATATTGGCAAGTAAACCCAAACACATCTAAAAGACAGAGAGCCTATTTCCGTCATCATTGTTATTATTATCATTAGTGAAGTCTTTGCAAGAATTTCCCCAAAGGGAAAACCATGGTCAGTCAAAGAAGCTTCCAGGCCCTTCTGCGTGGAGGTAAGGCCCCCCTGCTTTGATAAAAGCCCATCAAATGAGTCACCTGGCAAGAGAAACAGAGGCATTAGCATCAAGATGTTAAGATCTTCCTTCCTGCTGACCACACAGACTGAAGCTGGCTTAGAAAGAAAGGCCTAGGGTCCCATGCAAAAAGTCTTAAGTCCAAGTTGCTTGGTAGGAATGATGTCCACTGAGGACCCTGGCACCAGGACACATTGTATCAGGAAGGTGTATGTTAGCTTAGACACATATCCTCCACACCCACCCCAGGCAAGTCTCCTTTGGTCTCCACAGAGAGAAAAGGCTGTCACCTTGAACCCAAATACAAAAAGGTATCCATATGCAACTGACTACCAGGGAATCTGAAACAGGAAAGATTCTTCAGAAACTTTATTTGCTCCCCATGGTGTGTGTGTGTGGGGGGGGGTCAGAAGTCAACCTCTAGTGTCATCCATGAGAATGCCATCTACCTCCTTTGAAATATCTCCTACTGCTCCCCCAAGTAGGCTAGACGTGCTGACCAGGAAGCCCCAGGGGTCTTTCCTCCGGGACCCGCCTCCCTAGCATTGGGATTATAGGTCAAGCATTTGTACGTACGTCTGGGGACCAAACTCAGGTCCTCATGCTTGCAAGGCAAGAGCTTTACTGACTGAGCCATCTCTCCAGCCTCTCCCCTCCACTCCATTCCATTTTCTCCCTTCCTCTGCTGTGTGGGCAGGAGCTACCCAGCACCTCTGCCCTGGAGGTAACACCAACCCTGCCTAAGCTACTGCCCCTTGGCTGGTTCTCCCAACCTAGGGAAGCTCACAGGTTCCCAGACCTCTTCTTCCTCCAGCCTGGAATCCCAGGGACCTGGAAAGGGAACAAATGAACCCCAAAAAGAAAGCCAAGCGTGAGCATGCCGTGTCCAGTCCTGCATCACACAAAGTGCCCATCAGCACCTCCCTTTGAAGGCTTGGTACCCAGCCCCATGAGCAGTCACATGGCTAGCCCACATGGCTTCCTAAGAGTGGCTGACCACCGCCTCATTTCACAGATGGGAAAACAAAGACATGAAGAAGTGACTTGTCAAACATCATTTGGGCTAACTGTTCTTGGGCTACGTATGTCCTCCAGACCAGGGCTTTTCCTTGTAAATTTGACAACCTCGTTGGGTAGGCAGAGGTCACAGAGCTGGTTTTGAGTGGGATCTTTTCAACAGTCCTTTTGACATAGATTGTGTGTGTGGTGTGTGTGTGTGTGTGTGTGTGTGTGTGTGTGTGTGTGTGTACACGTGCACATGCACCCACAGAGGACCCAGAGGAAGATGCCAGATGTCCCATTCTGTCATTTTCTGCTGTGTTCCCTTGAGATGGAGTTTCTCACAAAACAGTGCTCACCATCCCTGCTACAGTGGCTTGCCAGTGAACTCCTAGGAGCTACCTGTCTCTCTCATGGAGCCCTTGGGCCCCCATGAGCATCCCTGCAACCACTTAAGACATCTGTGATCCCTCCGTCGACTATAGATAGAAGCTCTTAGTAGTTTCAGGACAAATCCTGAGAAACCACAACTCTTTCGTGTGACCCTTGTACCACTAGTGATATCACAGCTAGCCTACAGTCTATCCAGTTTCCCTGGTCACCTTTCAGAGAACATCTGCTGAGGTATGGGATCCTTCTCCTGGTGCCTGGACCCAGGGACCAGCAATCTGATGGTTCTCACTTCATTCCTTAAGGCAGCTGATTATATACCTCCTTTTCAGGTGGCCAACCCTGGAGCTCAGGGAAGCTGAGGGAGGAAACAGGACCACATTTGAGGTGGTGGGTATACTGAGGCAGGGTAGGAAGACGTGAGACATGGGAAGGGGAATGAGTCCTTAATTGCAGAGTCCGGTTGAAGTCTCTCACCAGCTGAGAGTCAATTCCAGCACAATTAATACTTGCCCTGAAGGTTGCTAACGTGGAGAAAATGCTCTTTTTATAAAGGAATCACAAAGAATATGAAGGTAGCAGTGGTCTTTTTTTTCCAGGCATGAGCCTGACATTGTCTGGGAAACACACACACACACACACACACACACACACAGAGAGAGAGAGAGAGAGAGAGAGAGAGAGAGAGAGAGAGAGAGAGAGAGATACACAAAACCTAAAAACTTGGTTTTGGTAAATCTTACCTTTCTTGCCATACTGGTGAGCTAGGGTTTTCCCTTTTCAGCTTTCACCCTAGCCAGGGTACCTGAGGATACTATGACATCACTTAAGCTTCTAAGCAATCTCTTAAGAATTTAAGAACCTATCAAAACTGTATACAAGACTACCATAAAGACAGCTGAGTGCAACTGTCTCTCAAGGATGCCACCCCTGCATAGGCAAGTCTTACCTTTCCCACCACCACCTCTCTTTCTAGTAAGCTTAAATCTGCTATAAATTCTTCTTAACAAATTCCAACTCTGGCTTGGCGTTGGTAGTACACACCTTTGATCCCATGGCTCGGGAGGCAGAGGCAGGTGGATCTCTGTGAGTTTGAGGCCAGCCTGGTCTATAGAGTGAGTTCCAGGACAGGCTCCAAACAACACAGAGAAACCCTGTCTCAAAATAACAAACAAACAAAACCCAATAAAATAAAAATAACTATGTCTCATCCTGAAATTCCTTTCCGTGTCAAAGAATCCCAACCCCGCCTGAGTAAATTCCGGTAAAGAACTCCTCAAGACACCAGGACCACAACATGGAGTGGTATGCCTCTGGTACGCATTTCACTGCTGTGCATGCAAGTCCCAGGGACAGTGGATCCCAGTGCCTGATGGGATGGAGGGCACAGGGTCTCATTACAAACCTTAGGGTTGTGTGCCTAGACCTGGATCTTTGTACCAAGCTCAGAGCTATTGTGATGGTTGCTTTAGCAATTCCTTTGGGATTCCAACACAAAACAAGTAGTGGATGACAGAATGGCCAAGCTGGGGGGAACCACAAAAGCCAACTAACTGTCCACTCCAAAAGCTCCACACACCTGGGTTTAGGGCACTCTCTTTTCTTAGCCCAACACGCATGTGCTTCCCACTCTACACTGGCCAAGCAGCAAGCAGAATGGTTAAGCAGTCACCTTGGCAACACTGGTGCTTAGCCCCACCTTCTGGGATGCCACCCCCAGACTCTCTTAGCTGTCTGTACAACCCCCTCAGAAGAAGAGCTGTCCAGGGTACTGAGCTGTGAAGGGGCTCCTTCCCTTCAATGACTCTGAAATGGACAGGGACTCAAGTGACATGAGTCATCACCGGCTGAGTTTTCTCCCTTGTCTCAACCCAAGGCCATCACAATTAAAGTATTGCTAGCAAAGCTAGATCTGATTCAGCAAAGCTTATATCCTAATGGCCTGTTATCAACCCCTTTGTGAGTCATGCTGGACCACAGTCATTGTCTACACAGCTCCAGGGAACAATTGATTCAATTTGAACGTGACTAAAAACCATATAGTGACTCCCTCAGAAGACATCTAGAACAATAGATGTTACACTGGCTGCAAAAACTAACGAGTAGAGAAACCCCATGCCCTCGTTTTCCTTGTAGTGTTAGATTATAACCAGCTTGGGGAGGAAAGCGTTCATTTGGCTTACATGTCTCAATCACTGAGGGAAATCAGGACAAGAACTCAGGTAGGAGCAGAGGCATGAACCATGAAGGAATGATGCTTATTGACTTGCTGCCCGAGACTTGCTCAGCCTGCTTTCTCATACAACCCAGGGCTAGAGGTAGCATGACCCTGGGCCCTCTTACATCAATCACTTGTCAAGGAAATGCCCCCAAAGACTTGCCTACAGGCCAGTATGATGGAGAAAATTTAGCCTAGGTCCCCCTTTCCAAGGTAACAAAACTAACCAGCATGCCCTCTGACAATTGATACTTCTTTCTTCTGTAATGCTAACTGTTCCTTTTTTACTAGAAAGACTAACACAACCACACCTCTCTTCTCATCTCACCAAGACCACAGTATCTTCCCTTCAATCACTGTAAATGACAGAGAAGAAAGGTATAAATAGAGACCCTGTAGAATGTGACCAGTCACCAGCAGAGGCATGATCTCCTCTTCAATAATGCTTGCACACCCCTAAAAGGTACAACAGGAAATGAATGTCAAGAAACAGGAATATCTTAAATTCACTCAGCTATCACAGGAAGTTGGTTCAGCATTTAGGAAATGAAATTCTTAAGCCCAGCCCTTGGATCTGCTGGAGTCCGGGCTGTCGTGTGCAGGGACCTGTGTGAACCACACACCTGCCTGGGCTTGAGTCCCTGTGCTCACGGCAGAACGCTCCAATTCCGTCCCTGGTTCCTTCTGGCTTCAGTGTGGGAAGCCCATCGTGAGCCCATTGTTCTCCTCCCTACCCATCCCAGTGATGTCTAAGATGGGAGATCCCTTTCCCAAGCAGCTGGTTTCCCTGTCTGCAGATGATCTGAAAAGGTCACTGCTTCTTTCTACAAAGCCTACTTCAGACCAAGCGGCTGAAGCTAGAGGGGAAAAAAAAAAAACCCAAGAAGATTTCAGAAAGCTTTTATGCCCTGTGGCTTCCTGCCTGTCATTCAGACGTTAGCTAAGGTCTGCGGGAAAAATAACTGCTTTCAGATATACTGGGTAACTATGGAAATAAATTAAGCCACTGACACTGGCTTGATAAAAAGCAGACCACCCAGATAAAGGCAGGCTAAGAAGGAAGTGAAGCTAACGGAGTGGCTGCCCCTGGGCTATTTGCTAGCTCGAAGCAGCACTTGGTTCTAAAGATGTAACTACTATTTAAAGTAGGCGCTGAACAGGTCAAGACATGGCAACTTCGTCCTGGACTGGGGATGTAGCTGAAAGCTCCCTCATGCTTAGCATCTGAACTTTAACCTTTCAATAAAAAGGAGAGGGGAGGAGAGAGGGGCAGACAGAGCACACGTTGCCTGATTTATGAGAGAGGAAGGTAACAATGTTTTTATATTGTCTTTCTAGAGCATTCCTTTACACACACACACACACACACACACACACACACACACACATGCCTTTTATTGTTTTTATTTACTTTTCTTTTCTTTACATATGAATCCCACTTCCCCCTCTGTCCCTTCTTCCTGCTTCCCCCAACTTCCCCTCATCTCAATCCCACATCTACTCCTCACAAAGGGTAAGGACTCCCATGGAGAGTCAATGAATTCTGTCCTGTTGAGACAGGACCAGGGCCCTCCTCGCCTCCTCCGTGTCTAGGCTAAGCAAGGTATCTTTCCATACGAAGGGGGCTCCAAAAAGTCAGTTCACTCATTAGGATACCTCCTGCTCTCGCTGGCAGTGACCCTACAAATTGCCCAAGCCTCTCCCGCATTCAGGGGGCCTAGTTCAGTCGGATGCACGTTGCCTAGCTCTTAGTTCAGAGTCAGTGAGCTCCCACTGGCTTGGGTCAGCTCTTTCTGCGGGTCCCCCATCATGGTCTTGACCCCTTTGCTAAAAGTCACTAATTAGCCTCAATGATGATCAGGTCACTAGTAGAATCCTGTATCTCCTTTGATATACAGTTACCATTATGGAATGAACAGTTCAACTAGAATTACAAAACAAGTCACATGAGCCTTCATTAGGGAAATGGACCAACCATCTGAGACATGGATACATGGAGAGTAAGTACATGTTCCAAAAATCAAGTGTCCTTCCTTTTCTGTCCTGTCCCACAGTGTGGCTGTAAGTATACAGTAGCCAAAGTAAAATAAAACAAGAAAAGTGTGTAGCCAAGGCTTGCCCAAAATGGTCACATTGTGTTCTCAGAATTCAGTATGAGGTAGCATCCCAGTATTTTAAATACTAACAGCCTACGATGTGTCAGCCACTGTGCTGACACCACCTTGGTCACAAATGCCAAAGTGGGTGTAGAGTCTGAGTGATGTGGGGTATCTGGGCTCACAGTGGACTCCTCCTAAGTTAACACAAGATAGTATTAGAGAAGATGCTCTAGACAGGCTCGTCCCTATGTCTTTGGGAGTGTCCAAGCCTGGGCCAGAGCTGGGGGAGGTACAGATGGGAAAGACTCAGGCTGTCTTGGCGTTTAAGTTCCCCACATGGTGATTAAAAAGTGCGCCTGTCTCAATTCAGCTTGGCCCAGAAAAGGCCCAAGGGGATGCTGAGAGTAACAGTTTTACTGAGTTGTCCTATGGAGCAGTAAAGAATTGGAGGGATAAGAAGCCAGCTTAGGGACAGGTGTGTCTGCTGTGCCATACCACAGTTGTGTGAGTACTTTTTTTTTTTTTTTTTTCTCCTGTGCCATCCACTCCTTTACCTCTAAAATTCTAGGCCTGGGGTAGAGGCTCCTTGGCAAAATCAGCAAGGTGCTTCTATGGCTTTGTAACCAGTAATCTAGGCACTGCCACTTAGGCATGGGTGTTTACGACACAGAATGTGAGTTATACATAGCTCTTTCATCAGAAATGTGTCTGTCGATTTTAAAACGCCGTTTTAAACACATTTGCTTACAACACTGAAAATGTGAGTCATGCCTCTTGTTGGTAACTGAATGTGGGATCGGAACAAATCTCATCCAGACTGTTTGCAGTGCCTCCCAGGGAGACTGGGAGAGCTATTCCAATGAACGTGTCCTTCTTTGTTAGTTGCTATCAGAACAATGGTGGGGAGCAGAGCTTTCCAGTGGCCACAGGAGCCACAAGTCTCTAAAGCTGCATCTCCTGAGCTTGGAAACTATTCAAAAAAATTTTACAAACTACAATAATTTTTGAAGGGATAACAGAGTTCACCTGATTGCTCTGTATCAGTCAATAGTAACGTGTTTGCATTCCTGTGTTCCCAGGCAGCAACAGAATTTAAAAAAAAAAAATCATGTTTAAATGTAATGCACAGCCAGGACAAATAGTTAGGGTGTATGCTCTGTCTCATTTCCAAACGGGATCGCTCACCATAAGGTTAGACTACAGTTCACAAACCCAAAGCAAAATTGGGATTTTCTTGGAGGACAGTCTGAGACACGAGTCTAAGTAGCTTCAACCTTAAAGCTTTAGGACAGTGGTTTTCAACCTTTCTAACACTGTGACTCTTTAATACAGTCCCTCATCTTGTGCTGACACCCAACCATAAAATTATTTTGCTGCTACTTCATAACTATAATGTTGCTACTGTTATGAACCGTGATGCAAATATCTGTGAAGGAATTGTCTGACCCTGGGGTCACAACCCACAAGTCGAGACCCTCAGCTTTAGGGGACGTTTAAGAGGGGAAAGTCTCACTGTCTTACACGAAGCTGTTTCTCAAAGACATAAGTAAAACATTAAGGACAAGATTGGGATTTTTGAAAGCGGTCTGGAAGACTGGAATATTCACCTCACTTCAGCAAGTTGGCTAAGTATTACCCAGTGCCTCTTCATGTTCCCGCCTGAGTGATTGGCAGGGCATCATTACGATAATGTCCTCAATTTTCCCATGTAGCATTCAAGCTGTTTACTCTGTCAGAACACAAAACCCTGAGCCGTTTTTCTGTAATTATACTAGATGCATTTAAAGAAGTGCTCTTAGTCTTGAAAAAGAAAAGAAGCAAGCCTGTGCATGACTCCCAAGCTCTGTTTGGTTTTGTCCTGGAGAACAGAGGAGGGGCAGAATGTCACCTCCGTAATAGGACTTTCTCCGTGGGTGCACACTCAGCCATGCCCGGGTTCAATTGCTTAGCATGCTTTGTATGGAAGCCGTGCAGTATTGCTTGGAAGCCAGGAGGGCTGGCTGGAGCCCGGGTGGTTAACACAGGCTCGGTGGTGGCAGTAACCAGTCTACAATATCACCCTGCAACAGGAAGTGAGCTGGTGCTGGGTGACGGCGATTGTTGTCATACCCTGTCATACCCTGACCCTCTGAGGCCACCTCAGCCTTCTCAGCTCACAGACCTTGAGCCCCATAGAAGCACAGGGCTCTACTCTTATTGGGCCTTTGCTTAGTTCTCTGCTATAGTTGATATCTTCAATGCTTTATAACATCTGAGCACAGAGCCCCACATTTTCACTTTGCACTGCACCCCACAAACTATCTGGACGCTTGCTCCCTGCTGCCCGGCTCACAGATTCTTCATTGTGTGGCTCTGGGATCCAAATAACTCGCTGGCCCCATAATTAACCCCTGTGCCTCTGGTCTAGCGCTTGGGAACCGGGTAGCTTCACCTAGGGACCCCTTCCTGACCACTCCCCTGCCCCTGTCTCTTAGCATCACCCCATCCTCCAAGCTCTTGTCCTTGCCTTTTCTAGCCTGTGTTACAGCTATGGGCCTGAAATGATGGTCGCTCCCCTCTCTACCGTTGTAAAAACGAGGCAGAATCTTGCACATATAACTCAGGCTAGACTACTATTTACTATGTAGCCTAGACTGACCGCCCTTTATCCCAAGGCAGTCCTCCTAGGAATCACAGCCGACCTCCGCTAGCTCTCAGTCCTCACGGCTAACATCTTCAGGATGTCAGTACCCTGGGCTCTGAGTCCCCACCTTGGTGTAGAAGGATACTTGCTGGATGGCTGCCAACAATGGAGACAAGGATGCCAAACAATCGGTAACTTCTAGGCTACTCAAAACCAACTTCAGCGGCTTGGGCTCTCTTCCCTCACAGTATGAGGACAAAATGGAGTGACCAACAGCAGGGAGAGGGTCCATCCCAGAACCTCCACGTCAGCTCAGTTTTAACCGGTGCAGCAGGCCCATTGATCTCTCCCACATGGGGACAGCCGCTAGGTCTTTCCTCGCGTTAGTCCTAAAATAAAGCACCTTGGCTCTCAGCGCCATTTTCTTATTTGCCGTGTGTTTGTTCTTGCTTTTTGTTTTGTTTTGAGATGGGTCGTGTGTAGCTCAGGCTGGCCTTAAACTTGCTATGTAGCCAAGGACGACCCGGGGCTTATTTTTTCCCTGCCTCCCCCCTCCCGAATGCTGGGATTACAGTCATGGGTGGCAATGCCCATTTATGCGGCACTGGAGATTGAACCCAGGGTGTATACTAGGCTAGCACTCTACCTGCTCTACAGCGCCAACCCCGACCTTAGTTTTCTCTAATCAATCACAGGGTCGGGAAAGCCATGCAACCACGATGGTTATGATCCTGAAGAGCTTCTGCTAACCTAAGAGCCGCTGTGACAGACGTAAGCTGTGCACTTAGGGCACATGTTTCCTCCCTTCTGCCGTGTTTCCTATGTTAGTACCTTTAAGGCAACAGAAGGAAAGATAGGTGGAGTAGACACGGAAGACACCAGGCTCAGGTGTTTGGCTTCTCTGGCCCACCATCCACCAATTCTGACAGACGAGCAAGCGGCGGGCTGCAGGGAAGTGAACTGGGAGCCGTGCAACTTAACATGCTCTCTTCACCCGAGGCACACAGCTACTTACCTGTTGGTCAGCAGCCCAATGAATGGGTTGGTAAGGAGCTGGACAGTGGCTTTGGAGGCAAACAGCAGCCCAACTTGCACATTTTCATTCAGGAGATCTTTGTCTTCACTTGGACAGTCAGAAGGGACAGTGGATGTGTTGGTCACCATGTGCTGTGTGGTGGTGGCCTTGTATGGCTGTTCTCCTGGGAGGCCACCGGTGGCATTTCCAGTGACATTTCCAGTGACGGGAATGGTAGAGTTGTCATAGTAGGAGAATATGCCCTGTAAGGTTCCTGAGGTGGTGGCTGTGAGTGCTGGCTTGATTTCTGTAGTGTTTTTCTCATGCTCGATGCTGTACAGGTAGCTGGGTATGATGGGCACTGGGGACAATGTCAGGGAGAGGGTTAATTATCACACCAGAACCTTTTCTGAGACAAAAAGCCATCAACATTAATGTCCTGTGAGAGGCCAAATGAAACCAGAAGGGTGGACCATGTGCCCCAGAAGAGGAAACCATGTTCAGACGACATACCTGGAACAATTTCATATTGCTTAGTCTGAGAGAGTTTAAATAGATGATAGATAGATAGATAGATAGATAGATAGATAGATGATAGGTAACAATTCTGAGGGTCCCCCATGCCCGAGGGGTAGCAGCTGCATCGGTATGACTGGCCACAGAGATGTCTATGGTTTATAGGGGTTTCTCATTACAGAATTCCTTCAGAGGAATATGCTTGAAAGGCAAAACACTGTCCAAAGCAAGTCAGTGCTGGCCCAGGGTCAGAGAGGTTCCACAGATTTCAAAAATGGATAAGGCAAAGAAACAGACATCTAAATTCCATTATGTACTTTGCGGGGTTGGGGGGAAACCAACCCTTGCAGGCGTTGGTAAACCGGACATTCTCAACAGATAAACTGCATTGCACCACCGGACCGGGGATCTGCAGGTTTCCACGGCCCTCCCTGAGAATCCCTTAGACTTCTATTGTGGAAAAACAAAGCTGCTTAATGTTATACAAGCTCTGGGCACATCGGGAACATGAAGCACCGAAGACAAAGGCCAGCTGAGACCCTGACTCCCTGTGAATCCCACAGCTGACTCTCCTGAGCTGAAAATAACAGTCTCTCAGACTCTGCAAGTGTGTGTGTGTGGGGGGGGGGGAGGTGACTCACTACCTGAGAGTCTGAATGAAAACCAATTATTTCTGTTTCATTGAAAATTGGTTTTCAAAAAGCACATTAGGTCTTTCACCACACTAACCCTAAAGTAAGGCACCTTGGCTTTCAGCTTCCTTTCCTTTGTTGTGTGTTTGGTTTTGCTTTTTATGTTTTAAGATAGGGTCACATGTAGCTCAGGCTGGCCTTAGTCTGTTTGAGGGACTAAGAGGCCCGGGTTTTGAACCCGTTTGGCCTGAACTTGTCATTTTAGGAGAAAGTATCAGACCAGCACATTCACAGTGTCATTCTCGAGTCCTACACAAGTTACCCTCGGATCATGTACACTTAAACACCACTTGCCTTTCTTCAGAGCTAGATGGCGACCTGCTCATTCAGCCGTCTACCAACTATTAACCCACCTTTCAGTAGCCTAGCAATTGTCCTAGTGGGCGGCAGCAACTCAGCGCATTGCCCATCTTCTACAGAAATCTTCTCCATCGCAGTGAAAATGGGCAAAGGGAAGCAGGCAATTATCAGGAGGAAACACAACTTCTGGTGCTTATCGGATGTCACGGGTTTTGACCTGACCTCCAGGAAAGCGAAGCCACAAGTGCAGCTTCCAGGAGCAGGGGCGAGGCAGGCTAGTATTCAAGGATGGGTTTTTGTTTTGTTTTGTTTTTCACAGCACGTTCTTCAACTTTTTGTACGGACAGAGCTGCTCAGATACACTAGGGTATTTGGGGTGCAGAGGACAGGTTGCCAGGGACGGGGCGGGGGACCCGGGCCAGAGGTGCGGGGGGGACAAGGGGTTAGACAATGAGGACGAGGTGCTAAGGACCCAGCGTCACGGACGGGGATGCCGGGGATCGGATGGCTGGGAAGCGAGGGCCATACTTACCCACGACGGTGAGCAGCATGTTGTCCAGCAGCAGCGCGAGGAACACGATGAACAAGATGAGCTTGCGCGAGTGGCGGCTGTCCCGCAGCCATCGCAGCAGAGCCAGCTCGCTCAGGGCCATGGCTCTGCTGTGCTGAAGGTGCGGGTGCGGTCAGTGGCTGGGACAGCCAGGAGGTCCCGCGCCACGCGGAGCCCAAGGAATCGCGCCCACCAGCGGTGGCCCGGGAAGACAGGGAGCGCCCGGCTCCGCTCAGTCCGGATAACGTCCCTAGGAGCTCCTCCAGAGTCGTCGGGGACCAGACCTGGGACCCAGGGACGCTGCCCCTCCCAGCCGCGCCCAAGGCGTCCGCTCTGCCTGAGTCCTGGGATCCCCGGACCCCGCCCACTGCCTTATAGGATCCCCGAAGGGTCTCTGTCCTCCCCGGCCTCGCGTACCTCCCGGTCACCTGCGAATGCCTGCTGGGTTCTTGCAACACTGCCCGGTTCTCAGTCCGTGCGTCCACGCAGCTCCAGGTCGCCTTCTCCGCCCCAGCGCCCCAGAGCCCTGCTCAGTTTACCCAGTCCGGTTCTGACGTCACGGACAGCGCAAAGCGGGGGCGGGGGGCTGGGACGCTGGCCTCCGCCCACCCAGAGCCGCCACTTGCCCCCAGCCTGGACTTGTGTCACGCGCGCCCACCCTGGCGGACCCTGGGGACCGGTGCAGGGGAAGAGTAGGCAGGGGAGTAGAGAAGGGAGCTGCAGGGTTCCAGAAAGGAGCCCAGAACCAGGAGTCAAGGGTCCTGGCCAAGGGTTTTCAGGTAACTCGGGCTTTCTTCTATCCCCAGGAGAGCCCAGTAGAAATTGTGAGCCACCGTATCCATAAACTGGCATCACCATGTCCCTAAAAATGGCCCAAGGTGACATGGATGAAGGCTGCGGGGTGTGCCCCAGGGCCAGAGTGCCACGGGGAAGCGGCACCCTCTGGTGAGATGGAAACAAAGGAAAAGAGGCCAAAACGGGGTTGGAGGCAAGTGAAGACCCCACCCCTCCCGAGATGAGGACACGTTTAAGAAAGTGGGTCAGCCAGTTTGGGACTCTGTAGAGCACCTGTAGATGGGCGGCAGAGCCTGGAACTAGCGGGGTGAGTGGCAAAGCGAACACATGACAGCTTGATAAGGGAGCTTCCTGCCGTCTGTGCTATGCCTGGGGTGTGATTTCGAGGGTTCAGAGTGGCAGCCCCCTCCCTCCCCAGTGATGGACTTGCTCTGCATGCTACCTCTGGTTAGGAATGTACCTGTGATAGACAGGAGAGAAACATCTCAACACACACACACACACACACACACACACACACACACACACACACACACACACACACGGGGCGGGGTGGTTTCCGATGCCCTACTGTGAGGCCAGAGGGGGAGAGCTGTGGTTTTGGCCACTTAGCATGGCAGTTACTGTGGCAGGCTCTCAGCAGAGTCTGTCCACGTTATGTTAATGCTCATCTGCTGTCAGCAGGAGCCGGCTTGGAGCAACCTTGTGATGTGTGGTCCTCTCTACTCTCTCCACTTCTCTTTCCTTTGGAGAGGGACCCCCTGCGCTTCCCACTGTTACCCTCCCCACCCCACCCCCATGATAAAAGATGTGTGGATGGGAAAAGTAGGTCAGTGACACACACGGGTCTCTGAAAAATCTCAGAGTGTGTGAAACTTAAATATTAAACGGGGAGGGAGATGGAGACACACTCAGGAGGAGAAAGCAGATGGCAGAAAACTGAGCCGTGGAGGGATGGAATTTATGGAGCACCCCAGTGTGTTGGCCCTGGAGCTTCTGGGCCCTGACCTGGGCCACAGGGTTAGTGAAGGGTGTCATGTAAACACTCTCACCAGATGCTGGGACCCCGATCTGGCATTTCCTTGATTACTGAAATTTGGCAGGTTATATGGGCTGGCCCCACCTTGTTTCTCCCAGCTCTGAAATGAGGATGATCCACTGAACCTCCTGCTTGGTGGTAGCGAGAATTAGTGCCGTGGTATGTCTGAATAGCAGCCCCCAGCATAGTTCGTGGCACACAGAGCCCTGCCATCCATTCAGGCAGTCGAGTGCTGCTAACACCAGCACCATGGTAGATTCTGGAGAGACATTAGTGATCGGAGGAGACCAAGTCTTCCGATTCAGATATTTATGAAGTAGTCACTTCATTATGGTGGTGGTGGTATGTGTGTGTGAGGGGGGTGTCCAGTGACATGCAAGAAACAACACAAAACTCCAGCCCAGCAAACAGGAGAAATGTGGCTCTAGGGAGCACTCCAGACCCACAGGACTCGACCTACACGGGAGGGGAGGTTCAAACTTTTTGATACCCCTCAAAATTTCTTTTAATATTAAATTTTGTTTTGGTGTATGAGTGTTTTGCCTACACGTAAGGATGTACACCACACACACCTGTGGTACCAAAGGTGGCCAGAAGAGGGCATCAGATCTCCTGGAGTTGTAGTTAGCTATCATGGGGGACTGTTAACTGCCAACCATCATCCAAAGTGGCCAAGAAAACCCTTTAAAAAAATCAAGTTGCCTTACCCACTTTTAAACTGGTATCTAAAATGATCTCTTTAATAAGAAATTAAAACAATTGGGCATCTATTATAAATATTAGCATTTATATATAAATAGCAGAATATAAATATCATGAAAATGTAAAACCACTCCATTGGCTTAAAAAGGCAAACATGTTTCTCTTTTACAGTTAAAAAAATTTACATTGTGTCCTCTGCTAGTTACTTTCCTAAGCTTGTCACTCAAGAAGAGAATCTCAAATCTCAATTAAAAAGAAATTATCTAAATTAAATTGGCCTTGTGTGCATGTGTATGAGGATTATCTCGGTTGTGTTGTTAGCCGAGGTGGGCAGACTCACCCAACATGGGCGTCACCGCTTCCTATGCAGGGGATCCTGGATTCACCTGTTTATGCTGTGGGATGTTTGTGTAATGACACAAATATGCCTTGCATTCCTTTATGCTGCATTTGTTTGACTCTGTGAAGCTGAGTCTATTTAAAACACCTGCCTATTTAAAACACCTGGCTGGCCTAATAAAGAGCTGAGCAGCCAATAGCGAGGCAGAAGAAGGGATGGGCGGGGCTGCAGACGGAGAGAATACGTAGGAGCATAATCAAGGATCCAGAAAAGAAGGGGCCAGCCACTCAGCTACACAGCCAGAAGTGGGATAAGGAGGAAAGAAAACATACAGAAATAGAGAAAGGTAAAAGTCCAGAGGCAAAAAAGAGGTGGGCTAAGTTAAGAAAAGCTGGGTAGAAAAAGGCCAAGCTAAGGCCTGGCATTTATAAAGAAGAATAAACCTCCGTGTGTATTTACTTGGGGGCCGAGCGGCAGGCCTCCCAAAGCGTTTAAAAAAGAAGAAGAAAAAGAAAACTACAGACCCTTAAGTTGCCTTTTTCTGGGCGGCTTATCGTGGCGAGGAGGGGACTAAGGCAGCTTCAAAGTTCTTGCTTCCTTTCCAGCAAAATTGTACACTACTTTGATGTTTATGGAATTTAATTCCTTGGTTCGTCACCTTATCTATTATGTGAACTGCAATGCATGAATAACGCATTAACTTTTAATTTTTTATTTTTCCTCGTGGCCATAAGGCTCTAAACATCTCCGTTTTATTCAGGATGTTGTGATTATGATTATTAATGGCCACTGATTATCAACGATATCCCGCATATGAGATGAATTTAATAAGTAATTATCAAATACTGAAAGAAAAATTGAACTAGAAGAGTATTACTCTGGACACGTGTGGCAGTACAACCTGACCTCCCCATGCTCAGGAGACTGAGTAGGAGGATGAAGGGTTTTGTGACAGCCCTTGCTAATTTGTGAAATTCTGCCTCAAAAACATAAAAAAAAAAAAAAACGACAATGAACAAGCAAGTAAACGTGCATTTTCTGGATTAACAAGACACCAATATTGTGCTTTTTGTTTAGTGCCCACAATACTTTCATGACTCAAAGCACTGTGACAGTAAGATGGTCAGAGTTGGATTGGGTGGGAGGCAAGTCTTATATTCCATGCAGGGAGATGGCAGATAGTTATGAGGGGGAAATGATAAAGAAACACCCTGTGTCCTCAAACAGGTAAAGCTGATCTCGGGTGAATTCTAAAACAGAGGACATATGGGAATGTAGGTCACTTGTGAAACCTCCATGCATATCAGAGACAGGCAATGGGAAGGCACGTCTGAGTCTTCCAGTGTCCACAGCCTACTCTCACACTACTCAACGCCTGCCTCCCCGTTTTGTGGTTAGTCTCCATTGTCGGTTTAACTGGATTTAGAGACACCTAGCTACATCTGTGACAACACCTTGGCGTGTATGTGAGGTTTCCAGAGAGGTTCTTAGCTCAGAAGGGGTGATCCATCCTGAGTAGGAATGATACTGACGCATGGATTGGAACCATAAACCAAATTTAAAAAAAGAAACTAAATGGAAAACCAGCGTTCATTTATCTCTATTGTCCATCTGTGTCAACCGTAACCAAAACCAACTGCTTGATGCTCCTGACACCATGATGGACTGTGCCCCTTTCAACTGTGGGCCAAAATAACCCTTCTTTCCTTCAGTTGTGTTTGTTGGGTATCCTACCACAGTAATGTGTAAAGTAAATACTACAGAGAATTGGTACCAGAAGTGGGGTCGTTTCTGTTATAAACTGGACTATGTGATTCTTGAGTTTTTGGAACTCTGCAGAAATAATGTAAAATAACTCCTAGAAATAATGTGCAGTAAAGTCCTAGAATCCTGTAAACAGAACTTAAGGGGCCATTCTGACTAGGGCCGGAAGACCAGAATGCTAAAAGAAATGCATGCAGTGAAGGCAGCAGCAACTCTATTGGGAATTAGGCTAGAGACCACTGGTGTTGTGTTCTGATAAAGAATCTGACTATGTTCTTCCCATGTCCTGAGAAATTGAATGAGGTCAAATTCTATCACAACAGGCTAATTCTTCATGGTTACTGCTGCCTGCCCTTACCCAGGTTTCTGTAAGAGAGGAGGCAAGAGAGGTGGAAAGATCTAGAAAATGTGAAGCTTAGCAAGAAAAGGAGAGTGAGTGAGTTTGAAGTCAGCAATGAGGAGGGCTCAGAGAAATATCAATTAGTTACAGATTGGTGTCTTTAAGGAGAAACACAGAGCTCTTTCTTCACTGGGATAACAGGAAAGGTACCTTGAAGGCAAGACCCCATCCACCGGAGGCTCCAACTTGTAAACAAGCAATTTGATGTCAAAGGAGAATGCTTAAGCCAAAACTGAAGGGTTCCCCATCTTCAGCCACTCCAAGCCATGTCCAGGGAGAAAGAGACTACAACTGTGATAGAAGGAGGCCAGATGGCGTCTCGAACCAGCAACATAATCTGTTAGTGTCCTAACATGGTGCTGTTTGTTTCCGGCATACGGAATGCAAGAGTGAAAGGACCCTGGAGGTTTGAAACAAGTTTCCGGAGACCTGCTAAGAGAAACAATGTATAGCCTCCAGGGATGCCCTGGGAGGGTATTGAATAAAGCCTAAGTTGCGCTGGAGATCACAGGCTATTGAAA